AACCGTGTAAATTAGCTCTACGCAAATATTTCATTGGTTATGCAGAGGTTTGAATTTTAGCGACACCAAACCAATGGTTTAAATATCACGCGCCTGAATATGTGCCAACACGTCATTATGGGCAGATTTTCTACAATGTACTATTATTGATCGATGTCACAAAGTTCGTGTTTACCACGTGTAGTGAGTCATATATATACAGCGCGTTACAACCGCGACAATAAATGAACACACGTCTAACGCTACTTGCCAATAATCATAAAAAATATAAAACGTTAAAAAAATTAAAGAAAATATTTTTCAAACAAACTAATAAAATAAAAAAGAAACAAAACTTATAACATCCTATACAACTACAACTGAATGATTCATACATTCAGAGACATCTTCTCCTAACAGTATGTTTTATCTCTTTTAAATTCATTCAACCCATTCATATGGTTTGGGACCTTTACAAATCAACTTTACGTTACAGTTTTGTACGTAGGGGCTGTTCTAAAAATTTTTCGAAATTCCTTATCGCGCGTTGTGAAAGGGGGCTAGACGGAAAAAATTCTAACGAAAAGTTGTAACGACACTTTTTGCTATAGTAAGCTATTGTAAGCTGTGCGGCGTGCGCATGTTTCTCTGTCTGTCTCTCTCTCTTATAGAAAGCAAGCCAGATATTTTCATTTCTATTTCGCATTGAACAGTGTGGTGTCGCGACGATTATTTTTGTTGAGGGTATACAAGTTTTTTGTACATAATAAATAATAATAATAATGAAATTAAGATATAATTAAATTTTATATGGTCAATTTACTTATCACGTTCTCCGCGGTGAAGGAAAACATCGTGAGGAACCCTGCATATTTTCAAAATAATAACAAAAAAAAATATTTTTCGAAGATATGTGAAGTCCGCCAATCCGCAGTGGGGCCGCGTGGTGGACTATGGCCCGATACCCTCTGTATAGGGAGGAGGCCTTTGTCCAGCAGTGGGACATGTATAGGCTGTTACTTTACTTTACTTTTTTGGTCAATTTATATAATTATATATTTTTAAAATTTTATTACAATTCCTTCACTAAGTTACTTTACTTTACTAATTAAGTTACTTTACTTTACTTTTTTGGTCAATTTATATAATTATATATTTTTAAAATTTTATTACAATTCCTTCACTAATTAATCGAAAGGAACTTCGTTCCATCCGGGTGTCCCTTGACACCTCTCAATTTTTTTTGTTTTGTAAAATTTAATAACTCGGTAAATATTAATGTTTAAATATTGTAAATGCTTAACACTATTTTAAAAAGTTATTCTCTATATGTGTGTTCATTTATTGTCGCGGTTGTAACGACACGCTGTATAAGTATACAGCGTGTCGTTCTGTGCACGAACTCCAGTAACTACTTATGTACTGTAGTTCGTGCACAGAACACTTATAATTTCACGAAAAGAACGACGGCTTCATGCATTAGAAACGCGTACACGGGTGCACACCAGTACCCCAATGTACGCCATCGAAACTAACCTGTAGATCGGGAATATACGAAATGATAGAACACACTCGCACTAGAACGCTGACCTGTATTCGACTGTAAAAGTTATCACACTTATTCAAATTGCTACTGGCCTAATTAAGTTTTAAATTTTTGTATAATATATGAATTAGATTAGTACCGATAAAACATTCAAGCATTTTAAACATTCTTTAATATTTTTATATTACTTAAAGAAGTTTGTCTGAGTCTTCTTCAATTAAACCCTCTACTTTAAATACAACGAGATAAGAATACGTAGGTACAATACACCATTTAAGAAAATTATGCTTCCTTTCATTGCTATTATCAAAGCATCCTTAACGTACAATTTAAGGTTTAAATTAAAGTAAAAAAGCGTACCAGGGCTTAAAAGTACGTCCACCTTCTCATACCAGGTGCAAAAACCAGGTATCAAAATACTTTCAAAGTATTTTCTGTCCAACGCAACGAGTCGATTACTTGCTTTCTTGCAAGTTTAAACCTTGTAGTTGGACAGATACGATTCAAAATATTCTAATCAACACGTAAATCACTTTTTATTTCAAGTATAAGCACAATCTGAACCTTATATGTATAAATAAGTATAAGTTATTAAGCGTCCAAGAGTATCTTTACCTCGGGCAGACATTGCAGTTGGGTAGAGACAACTTTGAGCGTGAAATCGTTAGAAGAGTGCAGCTGGGCTGGGCAGCATTTGGAAATATGTGTCATATCTTCTCGTTGCCGCTACCACAATGCCTAAAAAGCAGAGTCTACAATCAGTGCGTCCTGCCAGTCATGACATACGGGGCCGAGACGTGGAACATGACGGTGACGGAACTGGCCCACCGATTACATGTCGCTCAGCGTGCTATGGAAAGGTCTATGCTAGGTATTACGCTAAGGGATAAAATCCAAAACGAAATTATCCGGCAGAGGACCAAAATTGTCGATACAGTCCGTAAGTGTCCGTGAGCGTTGGAGAAACGGGTTCTCGAATGGAGACCACGTTTCGGAAAACGTAGTGTCGGACGTCCCCCTGCCGGGTGGACCGATGACCTGAGAAAGGTCGCTGGACTGCAAAAGGCTGATTGGAATTTAAACAAAAAAAAACTGATCAATGAAACACAACCTACTCGAATTTCAAACTATTGGTTACAGCCGCTTTCATATGCTCGGATTATAATAAAATATTTAGAAAATTAAGAGGGACTATGGTTATTTTATTTATTTTAAACTACATGCAAATTCTTTGTTATTTATACTTACTATAACAAAGCATTAGGTTAGTAAGTATACTAATCCGGATTTTTAATTTAATAAGTAACATTTTACTCGATTTATTTTATTTATACTCTGTGGTATGACGACCTAGGGAAATTCACAAATTACGGAACTATACGGCGTTAAGTTAAGCCAATAAAGAATAAAATAAATTACTCATATGTGAGCACAACTTTAAATTCAAGGCCTTTTACCTGTGCGAAGAAGATTACTGTTGATAATAAATGTCTTTAAATATGCAAATCATTAATAAAAAATGCAAGCGAGTAATATTTCAGTATTTATAGCAGTCTAAATTTTGAGGTTAATTTCTGCCGAAAAAAAAAACAAATTAATTATTTACACGCGTAATTTTTGATATTAATAATTAGGTACTTAAGTATTTACTATTCGATGATGTTGCTTATGACTAAAGCCAGATGTTAAGTTTTACACACATCTTATGGGACACGGTCGTTTTTTATTTTACTATTTTCAACTTTCAGACCATATTGTCGAATAGCAATAGCAATTTGATTTACTTTACCCTGATCATAAATAAATTACGAACTATATGGACAGCTGTTGTTGTCCCGTAAAAGTATCATATATTGTTTTACCATTTTAAATAGCATTAGTACGTATTTAACATAAAAATTTCTGAGTGAAGAACGGCAACATTTGCATTGGTAAATTTTACATTACAAATTAATGTATAACAATTGAAAATTATACATGAGTAATTGTGCATGTTTTACGTTTGCTAGTCAAAACCATCTATGATGATGGTTCAATGGAACATGTTTTCTTGGATATTTATTATTATTATTAAAAATTAAGTGTTGGTCAGAGGATATTACCCATTTAGGAGCTTTGACCCCACCTTCCCTCCATGTTATGCCACTGTAATTTCACAGTTTTATTTAAAGAAATGTGGGAATCAACCTTAGTTTGGTAGAGTTGATTAGTTCACCGTCACAAAATAGGTCAAAGCATTTGACACCTGTATCTTTCTTACTCTTGAACTGGACCTCTTTAGTAGAGGAGTGTAGAAGGTGTCACCGTATTGTCGTTGTACACTACCTACGTTGTCACTGGAGACTGTAGGTTGCTCACTCTCTCCACCTCTTTCCATGGACCTCTTTCCACGAAGCTGTCTTGCGAACTATGCGTAATATATCTCAAATAAGAGAACAAAAACCTTTAACAATATTGATAAATACTACACTTTATCTGACAAATCTACCCAAACGGCATGGTGACAAAAACGCTCGATAAATTTTCTTACTGAATATGTACTTCGTATATGAGCGAGAAAATAACCGACCCCCTTATCACCACCCGCGGCATAACTCGGGAACATTTTATAAAGGATTGTTTAAATAAAATATATTAAACAGCCAAATACATTTGTAATTTAGTGAACTTATCTTTTCATGATGATAACAGACTTTAAAAAGGAGTTTAATGTTAATTTAAAATTATTAAATGTAATATATTATTGATGAATCATGCCGTATGCGGTTTTTGCTATGTTTTTTTTTTAGGACCTCATTGGGAAACAACGTACATATCCGGAACAATGATCTGTGGGCCACAAATACTTGTCCCATGTGAGGATCGAACCCACAACTGCCGACGCCGAAGCCTAGCAACTGCGCCCACCCGGTCCTCATATTATTGATAAACATTAAATTTTTTTCTTACTAAATAAAGAATACATTTTACGCTTCGTTAAATATCAAACGTTAAATTTGTGTTCCTGGTTTACCAATTAGCGTGTAACCTTTTTTTACGACGTTCTGTAAAAATTTTATGGGAATATTAAGTCGTTAATATCATGGTTTTAAAATACGTTAGAAAATAAATTCATTGAAGATAAACTGCAGGTGTTTGTGAGTGAAATTAAAGTATTCATATAGCATCTTTAATATAAACAGGTTTGATGGTGTAATGATAAAGCTACGTGTCTGTTATCATTCTTTTCCGATAGTAATCTTAAAGTGCTCTTGTAAAGAATTCCTTACTACTGTATATGTGCCATTACGTTGTGCATGTAACCCAAGGGCAGATCAAGTGCGGTGTAGTATAGATTTCTAATGAAAAGTTTTAGTTTAATATAAAGTAATTATTTCCTGAACTAGTGAAAGTTTTGTGCCTTGTTTTACCTAAAGTGATAGTAAGCCGGTGCGCTATGAGAACCAAATGGACAAGTACTTGCTAATCGAAAACGATGTCAAATACGAAGGAAAAGTTCTCACCGTTCCTGAAGCAAGTGAGTATTTGAGTACTTTCAATATCCAAACTAATGTTCTCAGTTCATGAAATACTAGTTTTTAAATAGAGTCACGAAAGATCCTTTATACAAATTTAAAAAACGCATTAGGTCGTTATAATTATGTTCACAAACTAAGGCCATTAGTCCTATTTGTAGTCGGTATCCATGCCACCTCTTTCGGGAAGTTAGCAAACGAACGGAGAGGGTCTATTATAGTGTCGAGAAATACATTGAGGAAAAGGATGTGTGGAAATGAATCTCTGCTCTGCACGTGCAAGTCCCCTGGCTTCTGCTAATTTTATACTTAAATAGTACTTTTGTGTATTTACTTACATAAATCAAAACAAGAAAAAAAAAAGATAAGACCGCAGAGTTTCTTGCCGGTTTTTCTCTGAACAGATCTAGTTTAACGAACCGGTGGTACTTTTTGACGTTCAATAAAAGCATTCAATAAAACAAGCCTATATTGAATAAAGAAAGTTTGAATTTTACTTTGAACGAGCAGAGACTCGATGTAAATACGATGTAGATAGGTAGTACGAAAATGTAATAATTTTTTTTGCGATTAATTTTATTTGTAGTGTTAGTGTCTGCACGCGCATAAAATCATAATGTGAATTATTGTAAATAAATATACAGAAAGTTTAAACTAAAAATAACTTGAACGCTAACGCAGTTTTTTCTTTGTGGTCCGTTATTTTTGCGGTATGCTGTTCGCCTAACGCTCGATCCGGTGCCGTAAAAATATATATGATCTCCTAATAGTTGTTCGGTTTTATTGTGTTTGTTATACGTTTTTGAAATCCTGCGCCCAACAGTTTTTTCCTTCTTCATATATACATATCTGTGGTAGGGCCATGCAGCATCCTCGGCTGTTGCACGAATGGGCAAGCTCGTCCGGTTAAGTACCACGACCTCACAGAAGACCGGCGTAAAGTGGAAGTATAATACTTTCGCATTTCGTCTGGCCGGAGCCCAATTTTCAAAATATTGTCAACGCATCTGCAACCCTCGGATATAACAAATGTCTATGTGCGGCGATATTCACTTAACATCAGGTGAACCGCCTGCTCGCTTGGCAACTTTTCACATAAAAAAATATACATATATTAACAAAATATTTATTTAAAGTTAATCGTTAATATAAACGCTGGTACATGAAAAATTGATCTTAATCGCATTTTTGACTTCTTTCAAAAATTCAACAACGCGATTCGCACCATTGACCTCCTTAAAATGATAGTAATAAACATTAACGTTTCAGTGTTTCGTGACGGGCGCTGTTTGCAGCAACATAGCCGGCCATGGCAGCATTATCGGATTCCCTGCAGTGCTGCTGCCCCAACTCAGGGAGAAGGGTTCACCCATAACCCTCACTGAGGACGGTGGCTCATGGATTGGTAACGAATCTGCTTATACGTATCTAATCTACTCTGTGCAAGTGTATTCTGATACTCTTCACGTCTAGATAAGATTGTCATTTAGTTTTTATACGACGAAGTATTTTTTTAAATAGTATAAGTCTATAATAAATGTTTCATAACATTTATTATATACGTACAATTTGCTATAAGCATGAAACACGTAGGTATAATAATTATGCATATAATAAACATTTTGAAGACATTAATTATTGAGCAAAAATTATATGCAACAGCCGTTATAAAAGCAGACTAATTATGACAGCAATAGCCTTACAGTAATTAATTAGAAAAAGCAAAAACCTGTATATTAAACTCCAAGCAAATCTTCGTACTAATAGGTAACACTTTGACTTCACGCCGATCGGTAATAGAGCTAACAGACAGGCCTGCCTTTAAAGACGCCAATACATCTGCAGCACCTCTATATTTTGAGGATGAATGGTCGTTCCTCCTCATATGAGCCGCTTTAGATCAAATAAAACTTTAGTGTCAGAACAATGTCAGCAATTACTCTTCTAACTTTGAGGATACCCATGGAAGGCGGTCAACTTCACATGAGCCGCTTTGGAATCATCACATAAATAATTGACTCTAGTAGAACAATTCTCGCGCAAACTAATGACGCTACTCATAAAATCTCTATTCTCCGCAGCATCAGTGCTGGGCATAACAATCCTTGTCGGGAACTTCATTACACCGACATTGATGGAGAAGCTAGGAAGGAAACCAGCGCACTTCGCTGTCACCCTGCCAATCATAGCGGGATGGCTCATCACGATATTCGCCAACAGTTTCGAGGTTATAACTAACAAATATACTAAAATCGGGTAGGCATGATTTTTATTGAAAAAAAAAAAACAGCCACAGTCAAAGATTTTAATTGACATCAATCTCAATTAAAATCTTATAATGAGCCAGTAACTGTTTAAATTATTAAGACCTTTGCATATTTTATATGCACCTGATGTTTAATACAGTCTGTCAAACACTTTGTACTTTAAAATATTTTAATATTAATATTTAAATTTCAGGCGTTGTTGATTGGAAGAGTTCTGCAAGGCTTGTCCTTCGGTATGATCTTGCCTTTGGGTTCAGTGCTCGTTGGAGAATACACCAGCCCGAAGGATCGTGGGACGTTTCTGATGTCGGTGTCATTGGCGCAAGCGTTTGGTATATTCTTCGTCCATCTCGTTGGATCGTTGCTCAATTGGCGGAAGACCGCCATGATCTGCATCTTCTTCTCTTTCGCCAGCCTTCTGATGGTGTTGTTCTCGCCAGAGTCGCCGAGCTGGTTAGCAGCGAAAGGAAAATATGACGAATGCAAAAAGGTTTTCAGATGGTTAAGAGGTGACGGGGAAGAGGACGAATTGGAGGAGTTGATACGAGCAAGAGTGGTAGAGAATTCTAAAAGCGCGACGAGTAAGATCACGCTAAGCGTAATTATAAAAGTTGTGAAGAAGAGAGAGTTTTTGATACCGATCGTTCTTATGGTTCACGCGAATGCAATGATGCAGTTCGCGGGAGGTACCACTATGGCGGCGTATTCCACCACAATAATTGGCCTCATTATGGGCCCTGAAGCAAGCGCTCACTTTTGGATGGTCGCGCTGGACACCCAGAGACTAATCTCGAACGCGATCGCCATGTATGTGATCAACAAATTCAAGAGGAGGACCATGATGTTTCTTACGGGTGGTATCTGTGTGCTCAGCCATATAGCGATAGCTGGTTACGTGTACGCCAAACTCCACGGGATCCTATCCTACGATTCTATATGGATACCAGCCCTGCTGATCAATCTCCAGTTCTTCTCCGTTGCTACGGGTATGGTGCCTCTACCCAACGTTATCGCTGGGGAGGTCTTCCCTCTCGAATACAGAGGCTTGGGGGGCAGTATCAGCGTGATATCGATAGCCGCATTCATCTTTGTGACGCTGAAGACATTCCCTGGGCTTATAGCGAGGATACATTTGCACGGAACCTATATAGTTTACGCATTAGTACTGACGTACAATTTAGTCGTGATATGGTACTTGTTGCCGGAGACCAAAGATAGGACGTTACAACAAATTGAAGATGAGTTTAAAGGTAAGAGACGTTGTATTGACGTTGAAGGAGATGCAAGTGGTTTGAATAAGTTGAGTGATGATGACCAATTGGAGAAAACTCAGTTAAGTGAAATGGAAGCTCTTCGTGGAAAAAAGATGAAGAGAACTAAATCAACTGATTAATGTGTATATTTGTGTCATGTATATATGTATTAAATGTTTTATAAGTAAATTTTAGTCGTTCGTTTAATAAACACCAAAAAATTCTTTGTTTTTGTAAATATCCTAAGAAAAATATAATTGTTAATATTTTTCTTCCTCAGAAACATGGTTCAAATTAGCCCTGTTATTCCGTATTTACTGACTCTAAACCTGTCGACAATTTTATAGGATTTATAGTGCATATGTGTGTGATGTCGATTAAGTTGTCAAGATGTGTAGATTAATTTCCATTTGCTATCTTATCTATTGCTATTTTAGGGTGATATTCGATTTATTATCTAAAGCAGGCAAAGTAGTAGTCTTTTGATGTAAAAAGTCAGACCACAAACTTTTACCTTAAAAATAACATAAAATAGTAATTGGACAGAGATACTCACTGGAGAAGTCTAAGCTACATATCTATTAAACATAGAATTTCTAAACGAATTATGCATGTATATCCTACAGAAAAACATGAATATGCATAAATAACTGTGGTGTGGGCCATGCAACAGTCGTCGTTGTTGTTGCAAATGTCCACGAGTGGCGGTCTTCGTTTAACATCAGGTGAACCACGTGCTCGTTTCACAATATTTACATAAAAAAGTGCATGTAGTATTTATTTCGTAATTAGAGATTTTTTACAATATTTTATACCATGGTACAATACCTTGTGTTTACCATTGTAATATATATCATTTCTAAAGATTAATAAATCGTTTAAAACCAGACCACATTATTCAATGGCCAAGAGACAACATCGTTATGGTCCTTTGAGCTGGATAATGCAATTGGACATTCTTTAATATATGCTAAATTAACTTTGTTTTGAAATATTTAAGTAATGATAAACTAGAAACCAGCAAAAAAATGACATCGAAATTGGCATCCCTATGTCTGTGAAAGTCGATTTTCAGCGCATTCTGCGGCGGTGTGTATGAGCATCCGCGGGTTTTGCGAGGCACGCGAGTCAAATGTGGCCCTAGTCGATAGCCATCTGATATTCGGGGACCCCCTGATACGTCGAGTACCTATTACGCATTCAAATAGTCTCACTTCTAGAATACAAATGTACAATGGCATTAAGTCCGCCTTTGTACTAGATTTTGCATAAAGTGTAAATAAATATATAAATAAATAAATAAATGGCAAATGGAAACCGATCAGTTTTATATCTCCAAATTTAGCCCGTACTGAATTGCCAAAATGTTCACGAAGAGCAATAAATTCTAGAGAAACAAGAACATATCTAAAATAAATTGAATTGACACTTAAAATTTTTCACAGCCTTTGAAGGAATACCCATACTATTAAATTTTTTGTTATGTCAATACGCCTATATACAAGATGTTTAGAAATCGAAATTTAAGTCAAAATATATTGATTTGATTGTGTAAAGTAAACTTCCAATTGCTAGGATATTGTCTTCGTAACATTTTAGAAAATATAATCGGACTTTAGTAATTTTCCAGTGCTAAGTAAAATAATCTATCGATGCTTCCTCTGTTTGGGAGGTACAAATACTAACGCAGCATTAGTCTCGAATTTCAATATTTTACTTTTTAATAGAAGTGAAACTTTCACTTATCTCCTGCAATACGTTCAAAGGTATCTTTAATTTTTCACGCAAAAACGTCAGCAACAGCGGTCTATCAAACGATTTATCTTTATATGACGAGATTAACATTTTGAAACGATAAGACTTGTTAATCACGAATCCATGAAGTGCAAAACTTGTTCATAGAACGAGTGGCGAAGATGTATCACGAAGTACATCATTGGTGTTGACGAATAACAATGTCTTTGTCATAGTTTTGTAGATTTTGAATCACACATAGCCTCGAATTGATTAAAAATGTGGAGCTCAAGAAAAACTTCTCCGTTTGTCAAGCAGGTAAGTACCAAATTCTCATTTAATTATAAACACCTTAATGTCAATAAAAATTATCAATTATATTTTATACTAATGGATTCTTACAACACTGGTTACATGGTACTGGTAATCTACTGTGGTAGTGTCACGCAACACTCTTCGCCTTCGATGGCCTTTAGATGACATGTCGTAGTTAAACGCATGCATGAGCACATGCGCGGCCCTACCCACAGCGGAGGGCCCAAACAGTAAAAACATTAGTCGGAGACTCAAGAAACATGGAGCCGGACTCGCCAAGGTTATCGATGACTCAGCGTCGCCAAGGGGCTCGGCGTGGGGGCATTCGATTCCCACACGGGACAACTATTTGTGCGACCCACAGATAGTTGTTCCGCATCTGGGTGTTTGTCCGCGTGAAATTTATGTTTGTAAAAACGTCTTTAGAACATAGGATAATGTTATCCCAAAAGTAAGGCCAATGTTTAAAAAAAAGCATAATCTCCAAAAAATAAATTATTAATAACGTTAAAATATTCTGCATGCTAAATTCTTAACGGAAACTTTCAAAACTGTGATGTAACAGAGTGAAAGAATTCCGTCTCTCTATTGAAAGAATTTTCTGTGACCTTTTAAGACAGTAGAATTAGAACTCCAATTTAGACATTTTATGAAAATTTTGAGATCAAACTTGAACTTATTTGTATCGGCAAATATAAGTTGTACAAATATCTTGCATATCTCTTTTTGCTCGATGCATCAATCTAGACCTGCAGTTGCTACTTATTTTATATCATTACTTATTTTATATTTTATATCATTTTATTTAATTACACCGCGTGACACCTGCCCGAAAAAATGATTGCTATTTTAATTTTCTATTAGTCATATTAAATAAGCACTGAATTTTTTCGTTTCTATCACTTCTTGTTCATAACGTACACAACTATAATATTTTTTTTTTCAAATGACCCTGATATTACTGATATCAATAAATGTAATTGATAGGTAACATATTGAGAAAATAGGTAAATTTCCCAGTATCTTTGAGATAGAACTGTTTGTGGGTGTAAGAATACAGTTTTCAAGATGATCTTTGTATTTTGTATTCAGAGCTTCGTGACAGCGACGGTCTGCATAAACATCGTTTGCCACGGTTGCGTGATTGGATTCCCCGCAGTTCTGCTACCACAACTGAGGGAGCCTGGCGCCGTCATTACCCCATCCAAGAACGAGGAATCCTGGATAGGTGGGCAGAACTAGGCCTTGGTTAATATAAGCAAATTGACATAGTCGTTAGACGACACTTACGGTCTTAGCTAACACGAGATAGGTAAGTGAAAATCAATTTTATTAGAAACAGTTTGATGACTGCTTGGATTTACCTCCCGCACCTTTCCACCGTCAGACTGTGGTGGTTGATAGTCATCATAATCAGCTGCCTCATCCTCTTCTTGACGATATTCCTGCATTTCAATTAAGAGATTCACCCCAGTTTGTAATACAGCAAAGGATTGAAACAGTCCGCCCGTGCCTTCTTTGAACGAAGACCGGCACTATCAGTACAAAGGGTACCTAATAAACCTAACCTAACCTAACCTACCTAGGTACCTAGTAAAAAATAAAATCAATATATATTAAGATAATCTAGCTTGAAGGGAAAAGCTAAGCTAAGGTGAACTTAATGGTACTGTGATGAGTGGAAAAGTTTACAGATGCAGTGAACTACGAAATGAATTCATAATGAATTCTTAATACCAGAAATCGGGATACGAACTTTAATTGGAATCATTAATCAATAAAGCAGAAAATCCATGGTAAAAGCCACCGCATCTGCAAGCCAAGCTTACTTACTAACACTGTTTATAATTTTTTTTCCCAATTGGTGTAGTTAATAGTAACCTTATCCCTTGCGCCAGAGAGTGTGGGTTCGATCCTCACTATTGGGAAAATATTGTGCGATGAACATGTGTTTTCCTATTGTCTAGGTGTTTATATATCTATAATATGTATTTACAGAAGAAAAGTATATTTAAGCATATTTATCATTTACCTAGTACCCATTGTACAAGCTTTGCTTAGTTTGGGACTAACGTTGTGTAAAAATATGTCCCGAAAATATGAACAAGATGTTACTTTCACTGTTTACAAAACACCTTTGGTCCATCCACAGCTTCCGTCCACACCATAAGCATGCTGATTGGTTTCTTTTTGACGCCGCCCATCATGGACAGCTGGGGCGGAGGACCGCGCATTTCATAGCCGCCGTGCCGTTCCTGGCGGGATGGCTGTACACGTCCATGGCAACTAGTGTACAAGTAATTATGAATTATAAATAGATTCTATACAATATTTCACGTATTGGCTCCCTAAGATACTATTTGCGTTTACCTCTTGAATAGCGAGAACGGGAGGAACAAATGTGTATAAGACCTTTAATTATGTAGTTACATTGTGTAGCAAATCAGCAGTAGATTTTTGAATAATACTTTAGATCGTCTTATGTTATGATAATAATTATAGATAGATAGATAATTAAAATGTAATAGGTATTGTATCGTTTTAGAAATGTACAAATTTGAAGTGTTTCGAGTTTTTAAATCTTAAAGTCGATTTTAAATTTCTTTTGCAAGATCGTAACACAAACAATTATACATATTGACATACAAATGTGAAGTGGATAAATGGCTTCTAAAATTAGGCAATAAGTATGTATTACCAAACATTTAAGAAAGGTTCTGATCTGATTGCAGGATCTCCTCATTGGCAGAATACTGCAGGGTGTTTCAAGCGGCTTGCTAACCATTCTTCGCTCTGTGCTAATCGGAGAGTACACCAGCCCGAGCAACCGCGGTGCCTTCCTCACCACCATATCTCTGGCGCAGGCCTTCGGTATATTCTTCGTCCACCTGGTCGGCTCTCTAGTCAGCTGGCAGACGACCGCGTTGATATGCGCCTTCTTTGCTTACACCAGCTTCATAATGACCATGTTCACGCCGGAGTCGCCAAGCTGGCTGGTGGCGAGACGCAGGTATGATGAGTGCAGAAGGGTCTTCCTGTGGCTCCGTGGTGACACGGAGAACGAGGAACTAGACGAGATGATAAACGTGCACGTGGCTCACGAGAAGGCAAAGTCGCAGTCGGGTTCCGCCAAAGTCAGCCGCTTCGAGAGCATGTTGAAAACGGCGAGAAGGAAAGAGTTCTACAAGCCCATTGTTCTTATGCTGCACGCCAACGTTCTTATGCAATTCGCCGGCGGAACAACCATGTCCGCTTATTCGACTGTAATAATAGGACTGCTGATGGGCCCTGGCGTCAATGCTCATTTCTGGATGGTGTTTTTGGACACGCAACGGATTATCTCGAATAGCATGGCTGTGTACGTGATAAACAGGGTCAAGAGGAGGACTATGTTGTTCTCGACCGGTGCCCTCTGCGTGGCGGCTCACGTAGCGATAGCGGCTTACGTGTACGCGAAGGATACGGGGACACTCGTCTACGACGCCCTGTGGCTGCCAGTGTTGCTGATCAACGTCCACTTCTTCACGGTGGCAGTGGGCATGGTGCCGATGCCGAACGTGATAGCCGGCGAGGTGTTCCCGTTGGAGCACAGGAGCGTGTGCGGCAGCATCAGTCTGACCACATCCAGCGGCTTCATGTTCCTGGCGCTGAAAACCTTCCCGCAACTGGTAGACGCGACCGGGTTGCAGGGCACTTACTCGCTGTACGCGGTACTGCTTACGTACAATCTGACGGTGATTTGGATGCTGCTGCCCGAGACTAAAGGGAAGACTCTGCAGCAAATCGAGGAGGAATTCAGAGGTCGGCCGCTGCGCCCTGAAGAGACGGAAATGAAACTCGTCCTTCGGATGGACCCGATGGAAGCGTATAGAAGTAAGCTCTCATTGAGGAGGTGTAGTAGTGCAATTCTCTAATTTTGTATATTAAATGTGATACGACTATTTTATTGGGAAAAAAAATCTACTTGACGAAGTTTATCTCGTTTATTTGTGCTACCAATTATCGCGTTTTACATTAAAAATAAAACATTCATATATTCATGACATTGATTTTATTTGAGGGCGTAAAAGTAAATCAGTCGGTGTAAGAGAGTAGTAATATTAATTTATTAATCACAATTTCTACATCAAGAACTGATGTTCGAATGTTATTCTGTTAAATGTAAACCCAATTTTTTTTTTATTATATCGAGACAAAATACACGTAAACAACAATCATATAATATGCGATTGTTGTTTACGTGTAAAGCGATTCATGAATTAGGATCAAATACACAATATTTGTGGGAAAAAAGTATTAAGTTAGTAAAGCTTTTTGTACGAATTTCATGTCGAATAAAAATCATTGTGCGGTATTCGTAGACAGAGAAAACCATGTATCCAGAAAAGAGAAAGCGACATTTTGTAGCTGTTAGCTGACACTTTTAATGTTTCCATCGAAAATAGAGGTGTTTACCAAAGATCAACTTTAATTTTACACTCTTCCAGTTCCAATATAATATTATTTAATTCTGCAATTATTTTTAGTAATCATCGATTAACTCGCAATGGTCGTAACTGTTTCTATCAGTCATTTTATGAAGTTTTTTCTTTCGTGGTGTTCTCAACTTTGCATTTTTTCCTCCCTTTTCTTCTTAATAAATGAAAATTAATGTTGGTAACCGTATAACTCAAGAATGGCCAATTCAAATAATTTTTTTTTTGTATTATCCTTAAGGCCCACGGACGGTTTTAATACTATAAAAAAATAACGAAGTCTATCCGGGCGGCTAGTATTAAATATATGTTAGTTACTCTTTTAGAAATGACAGACAATTTAACTTCATTAGCAAATCCCCAGCCTTTGAAGAAAGATCGAAAGTGAGCAAATAGAAATTAATAAGTAGGTAATAGGTGTGTATGACATGGATACACAGGAATACTGATTTTTTTTAAATGGGCGTGGATGGTTAAATCTAAAAAGATTTTGATGAAGACTAACGCCCGGTTTCTGGAACCCTCATCATCGTAGAAGTTAACTAATCAGCTGTCAATTGGCCGTTCAAATGTCATTTGAGTTGCTAAAAGAATGGATATACTAAAATGATTCATATTTTGTCTTTATTAATGTTGATCTATTTTTGGCAGGGAAAAAGTAAACCGACGGGCGGCATACCTTAGACTAGTTGTATTGATCATGTCATCATAATTCTTCTATCATAGTTCAAAACTTTTATGGAACGAAAAAATAATTGAATATAGAAATATATAATAAAGTCCTCATCGAAGAAAACCGAGGGATAAAATGTTCGATGACTGTTTTTACTAAGTTTTTTTTCGAGAAGTTGCCAAACGAGCAGACGGGTCACCTGATGTTAAGAGAATACCGCCCATGGACATCTGCTACACTCGAGGGTTCCAGATGTGTTGCCAATCTTTTGGAAATTGGGCTCCGGCTACCTCACTCACCATACGCAACGCGAAAGTATTTGTCATACTTCCACTTTACGCTGGTCTTCTGTGAGGTCGTGGTACTTACCCGGACGGGCCTGCCCATTTGTGCAACAGCCGAGGCTGCTGCGTGGCCCTAACACCGTAATTCTCAATTTAAATCTATAAAATATAATGTTCTCACATTAGCGCTACAACGCGTTCTTTCAAAGTACTGTAATAACTTTTTTTAAGTACTATAACTAAAAAAAATTAAGATGATAAGTATTTTGTATCTGATACATCTCTGGAACTCACCGGCAAATAAAAACTATTAGCGGCAGTTATTTCAGCCAGTTCGATACCACCAAGTAGATGAAAATAACTCAAACAAAATACTGTCAGGATATATCAGGTAAATGAAACTCGACAATGTTTTTCTATAATTTTCTATATTATTTGGTACACGGTACACGTCAATCTGTCCAACCATACGCAGTAATGAGCCGCTCGCAATATTAAAAACTAATTCCTTTCTCTTTTACACTAAACAAGACAACTCTGTACATCTCGCTCGCACCCGTATAGTTGCACAAACGACTGCTCTCTCTCACTCTCTCCCTTAACTATTTTATTTACAATCTTCATACAAACACTCCCCCCCCCCCCCCCCCGTATGTCTACACAGCATAAAGTGCTTTAACAATTACATAACTCGGGTCTATTTTCGAATGCAATAAATAACTTTAGGACCGTTGCGCAGTACGACAAGGCTGGAAGGTGCTTGGGTACTTTTCGCGTGTCCATTCTCCCTTTACGCTGTGTACACTCCATAAGAAAACTTTGAAGCAGAGATCAATGGGGCGTCAGCACATGAATAAACGCCACCGTGAACTTATAACTTAAAAATTTAACAGCCATTTTGTTAATAAATAACGCGGTCAATACGCCGATGGTGGTGTCGAAATGGGGACGCTATGATCGTAGTTTTATCGTTAATACAAACACACGTGGCAAAGTGATTCAAATCGGTGATAAAGAATTTCCATACAGACAAAAATCATTATGTTAGAAAAGGTACACGTTCTAATAAAATATAATTAGGTTAATTTCAATATTCTATATCACCACTTAAGTAAATTTTATTTAACTAATCTACAACAATCACTCGTGACGTACCTAGTGTGATTAGGGGAATACATTTCTTTGCTGACCGTTCATCCACAGAAAAACAAAGTAGCAACGGCCAGAAACATTAACTACTAAAATTCTTTCGAAGTTGAAAAACTCATCGGCTGTATCGACGGCATTATCGAAATACTTAACAACTATCAACAATCCAAAATGTAAAATTTATTAACATTGGACTAAAATAAGTGAAGGCTCACAGCGAAGCCCGGCTTACGAATAAAATAGTACTCTTTTAACTAACGCTTTAGAGTTCATGTTGGCTTACATAAATTTGTTATAGGGCTACAAATATAAAAAAAAATATACAATGTTACACTAACCGGTATAATACAGCACTACTAAAAAAATAAGTAGCATCCTGTGAAATTACAATAACATACTCTCGAACAACGCACATAAAGTTTACAATTGATACGTATTAAATAACTATTACGTCCGATTGTGATTTCACTGTGCAAATCAATAATTCTACAGGCAGGCACTAGCTCCAAGCAAGCAATATATACTATAAAAAACTTTATAAATAAGGGCCGAAATCGGTTGCAGCGTTAAATTCTAAAATTGGACAATAATAAAATATATTTCACTGCTCTCTTTCTCTCTCGCTAAGTAAACATGTGTAGACAATAATAATTTCTTGTATTTACGCGATTACACATTATAAATGAAACTAATTTTACGGATTTATCGCGTTTATTTTTACGTTCGTGTTCTGTGGACAGACCATGAACGCTGTAAAGGGTTCGAAACGTCGGGAACTAAAATTAAAAATAAACGCGATAAATCCGTAAAATTAGTTTCATTTATAATTTGTAGACAATATATCTTATTCGCTCACTCGCACGAAACGCAGAATTAGCGCTCGCGACAAAAAACTTTCCTATACCAGTAAAATATACTTTCAGTAAGGGGATCGCTCGGGTATTAAAGCTCGTCAGTATACAAGGTAACAAACGTAGTGCGCGCCTCACGCGCCGAATAGACACTAGAAACTAGTACAATATACAATTTCAGTATAAAACTTCAAAAGATCCTACGAAGGTACACTTCCTGTGCTGTATCATCTCTTTCAAAGGGATATGTCCAGCCGATGGCTAACAGATTGTCAATTACATATAAAACACATCCGCTTTAAATTGTTCTAGATTTTAAATGAATTGACAAGAAATTCATTTCATCGATTATTATTAAGCATTTTGTACTTATATTAAGATCTTGTCTACTTTGCGTGTGCGGAAAAAAAATGTTCTTTTATTTAAAAAAAAAAAAAGAAAAAAACAATTGTTGTGAATATTTTATGTCCAAGTTAACCAAATCTAAAGTTTAAAAAAACTGAAGAGAAGAAATAAAATAAAAATATACTGTCACTCTAACACTAAATTGTCTTTTCTACCACTGTAATTTTAAATATCTACACAAATCTTGGGTATAACGCTTTAATAGTGTTGACACAGCACTGGGGTGCGAAGTATTGTATAAATAAACAAAAAAATACAGTTGATCGCACCTCTTCGCCCGACGGGTCGACGATATCGCTTTGCATTCCGTTCGATTTGAGATTTTCAAATTACGTGTTAACATTACGTTATAATTATAGCAGGGCGTTCGGGCGACACATCGGAATTTATAAATCCAATAGTTGAAAACCTTTTCTTTACAAATGAATCATCCACCTCACAAACAAAAAAGTATTTACAACCTCCCCCCTCCCCCCAACACGTAGACAGCAACGCCATCTAACTGCGTAGAATAGAACGAATCCCCTCCGTCAGCGGACCGAAACAATTTAGAATACTCGTATTGAACACTTTGGTACCACGACGGCCGAGGCGATTGCGCCGATCTTTATTAATTTAATTAGAATCACGCACCAGTGGCGCCCTCTGCGCCCAACACAGAGAGCCCGTGTACATTTCGCTACGTAGTTTATCTTCTTATTAAACTGCAACAACACCTATAACATCAAAGGTCGTGAAGCGGGAGATTTCGCGGGATGGAGGGCACTAGACATCGAAACAACGTGAAACTTATCTTAAACTATGTGGGGCCTTAATCAGGCAGTCTGTGCAAAGTGCAAACCGGAAGCAAATTCACAATTTGGTTATGATTTGATATTATTTTTGTGACCAACCTCTGAAAACCAAAAAAACACCGCGTTTGCGCTTGTCCGTTTTCAAAGGTCTATCTGAGAGAATAATCAACCCTGATTACCTCACTCCCCAGACATAATGGGAAAATATAAATACTTCTGCTTCACGATCCTCGTAAGTTTGCAGTTTTGATGCAGACTAACTGAATAGATCCCAAAAACAATCGTGACTCGACGGAGAGAACACCAAGCCTGATGGTGGTACCTGTGTTTTAACAATCACCGTACTGCAATGTACGAACAAACCATTAAAATAGATCATCCTGAAAATGTCAATGGTAGCTATCTATAATCCTTATGGGTAACAGCTAAATTGCTCATTTCAATAATTGTGTAATATGAAGCTTTCATTGTAACATGTTTGTGTAATGGAAGAATGGAATACTGAAATTTTATAGATATCCTGTATAATTTTACTAGTTCATTCAATTTGTTCCTTAGAAAATTAAACTCAAACGGTATATGATTTAAAAAAAAATAAAAAAACGATATAAAATTGTTCAACTGTCCGTCCGTAAGGAAATTTACATTTGACGGATATAAACTAATTTTATATAAAAAGAGTTATCACAAGACTAATTGTGAACTGTACAATGTTAGAAAAAGTTAGTTATCAATAACCAAACTGTTAGAAAAATTAAGCAATTGTTACTAATGCCAAGAAATACTTAGTATATTGTAACCAAGCATAACTATGTATCTTTTGGTGAGTTGTGCGGTCAAGTAAATTCAATTATCACTGTCACAGCACTCAATGTAATGTTCCTTAAAGACTTGCCAGATTTACCTAATTATAAGTTTAACAGTTATTTGCAGTAAGACTATGCCAGAAAGACAGAAGACGATTTTATTTGTATTCTAAAAAGCTTTGAAAATCAACTGTTCTTTTCATTTTAGTCACACGTAAACTATTATTATATTGAATTCGGAATACAGATCTTCTATAATGAATGTGTACAATGTCAAATAAATTAGTTTGGGGTGCCATTACGGGATGGATTCAACCCCTACTAGGAATTACACTACTGACAAATCGTCAGAAAATAGAGATGGAACGGTCGAATAGAGAATATCGTGAGTACACAATAGTGCACTGCGATGCTTGGTCAAATGTCGAGCTCCCGCGGGCAGGGGCCGTCGGCGGGCGGAGGGCGCATCTGGCGGGTCTGGCGGGGCTGAGCGTCGCTCGGCGCGCTGAGCGTCGGCGCGCTGAGCGTCGCCGAGCATCGCTCGGCGCTCAGCGGCGGTCGCGCGCGCACGCGCCGCACACGTAGTCGTCGTCGTCGCGCAGCGCGCCGCGGCTGAGGCCGACGCAGTGCATGTGGAACCACTGGTCGCAGCCGCCGTCGCACTGCACCCAGTCCACCTCCTTGCCTGCAACGCCGCAAACGACTTCAGAACGATTTACACCCTATACATATATTTGTACGTGACATTAGCACGCGAATGTAGTCCGGTGTCTGAGCTCGTGTACATTGCATTGAGCTTATATGCGCCCGAGTACAGTTCGCTCCGCGATTTCTGCATATACATGCATACATAGTCAAATGCAACGAATGGTTACCATTAAAGAAAACAAGCATATGTCGCAGGATCACGATGTGGCGCTATAATTTGATTACAACACCATCTATTGATAGCTCTCGGAAACGTCAAGTAGTGCGCTTGAGTAAGGTCGATACAGGAAGTGAGAGAGCGGACTTGACGTTATGAGTTGTGGAAGTCAATTGACATGGGACACGGGGGTGTGTTCTGGTCGTGCTCGGGCACGCCGCTTAGAAAAGGGACGGCGGTGCGAGCGGTCATCTTCCTGTATCCAACTAACTGCGTTTCCATTTAATTACATCGGCGTGGTTAATGGTTATTTTCGTTATTGTTGGTTTTAATCGAACAAGTAAATTAGAATGAGGGATCTGACAACGAGTTGTCCTATGTGATCCACCTATCTCCGACACATATATAAAAAGAAACTTAAAGCTTAGTCTTGCGAACAAGACTAAATAAACTAAGCTGTCCGTAATGATACAAATAAGTCAACGTGTAGTGGGTCCGAGATGTAAACTGTTCCCGAGTCGGACTCCATCGTCTCCGGCACGTACCGGTGGGTCGCAGGCAGTTGTCCGCCGCGCAGTCTTCGTCCGAGGACGTCGAAGAGACGGACGAGGAGCTGCTGCGACGCGCCGCGGCGTTGCCACGCCTCGCCGCGCCCGTCCCGCTCGCACTCGCGCCGCGGTGCTGCGCTGTAAAGGGAAATGGAAGCGTGTTAATTGATTTCTACTAGTCCATTCACTTCTACCGCCTTTCCTTGGGTTTTTTTAAGGATTTCACTACTAAACTCTATCCCTCAAGATATTACGTAAGAATTAACAGTAAAAACACAATTCATTTTAAAATCTGACGACTCGATTGGCGTAGTGGGTGGTGAACCTGCCTCTTGCGCCGGAGGGTGTCGGTTCGATCCCCACTACTAAAAAAATATTGTGGTTTCCATTGTCTGTGTGTTAAAATATGTATAACATGTATATATTTACAAAAGAAAAATATGTTTAAATATGTACATTCAGTATCAGTCATTGGTTAGTTTGGGACTGGAGAATGTTGTGCAAAAATGTATCCTAAAATATTTATTTATTTCCCTATTAGCTAGGGAAATGCCTTTATCTAGGAGCAGTAGGCTCTCATGAGGATTGTAAATTAAATATTAATAGTTAAGGTTGGTAACTCACTTAATCTGGATTGGCGAGGATGTTTCCCGCGCGTGGAGGCCGCAAGGCCGCGTTTGCGCCTCTCCTGCCTCGCCATGTAGTGTTTCCTCATCATCAGGCCAGACCCTGACGACATGCCCTGCAAAAGTACAAATACATGATAAACTCACTAGCTGAAATTGGGCAAAGACCTCCGCTGAACAGTGAATATTAAGGCAAAGCCCTCCAAGCAACCCTTTTGCGGATTGGCAGCCTGCACTCATCTTTGGAATAGTATATTTGTTGTTATTTGAACCTATTCTGGTTTCCTCGCCTTGTTTTCTTACACCACTGAGCCAGTGATAAAATGTTGCTGAATTGTATTGAACTAAAAGCGCCCGGACACTTAGCTAACACGGCTCTTAAAAAACTGATAACCATACTGATTACAGGTTTAAATAAAAATGGTATCCATTTGAAATATCACAACATTTCGGTTTATGAGCAAAGTCATAAAGGTTTTTTAAAATAATGATATAAGTTTGTGAAATACTATAAATTTTTATTTCACTGTAAATGAGTTTATTATTAAATAGTTAGATAATAAAGCTACTCTAACGAAGAGAATTACATGTGAAAACTCACTTGTTTCCTATTTAAGTAATTTGTCGTCGTGGCGGATCCTCGCTTCATTGTACTCTTGGTAGTGTTTGTTCCTGTTGAGAATATAAACATAGTAAATATTTTTATTTATATAATACTAAATGCCTAGGATTCATAAAAACATTCTGGTTGTATGCACATAAAATATATGTTAATGTACAAAATAAAAGTATTTTTTAGTAGTTTTATCATTTATCTACTGCTCATAGTTTGAGGTTATAGAATGTTGTGTAAAAATGTTTTCTGAAATATTTCCATCCAAAAAAGTATTAAATTTTTAGTTGTGGTTGTTTTTTATACGGAAGAGATTAGGTAGTGTGTCCCAACAACCACTGCGACTTAGAAAAATCTATCGTAGCTTTACACCCTTTTTGTAAGAACTCTCCACATACGTAAATTCCACATAGACAAACACTCAAACACAGGGCATAAGGAGCCGTGTACGCACCGTGGTGCGCGTGCGCGTGTGCGTGTGCGTGCGCGTGCGCGTGCGCGTGGTGCGGGCGCGTGCGCTTGAGCTGCGCGTGGGGGCGGGGCGCGCGCTGCGTGCGCTTCCTGCGCGGCGGGTCGAGCACGCGCGCCGCGCCGCCGCCGCGCCGCCCCTCCGCGCCGCGCCACCACCACACCGCGCTCCACACCTGCGCCTGCTCCTCCAGCCGCACCTGCGCAAACTCCCCTCCGTCGTGCACTCGCCTCCTCTGCGACCCTCCCCGACCCTCGAATGGGGAGGGTCGCAGAACGAGCGAGGCTTTATTAACAGTTGGGTGTTCACTTGCCATCTTTTTACATTAACAAAAAGACATATATATATAAACAAATAGACATACATATTCTTCACAGTCTCTCTCCCTCTTACATTGCACACTCTTCCAATCATGATGATGAATCACATGCTGGCGTAAACCTCACCGATTCAAGCCCCAAGGTCCTGATCTCTACAGCTCAGGCGTAATCTCGACCAGCTCAAGGATGGTCGGTGGTAAGGATGGGCAACAGGCCATCCCTAACTCTGACCTACGCGACGCTACACTCGAGGTGTATCAGAGACTCTTCCAATCATATAACACTCCACTGAAATTGGCAAGACCTTAGAGAAACCCATTGTATTTCTTCTTTACTTCTAATATAATGTATATATTATATATCCATTATAAAGTATCCATACATATAAGTTTTGATAGAAAAAACACTAAGTACTACTTTCTAACCTCTAGTAGATCTCCTTCCAACATGAGGTCTTCTAGCTTCTGAAGTAAACCAGGCGTTACCCTGGTGCTAGGTGACCGTGGTGTGGCACTGTAAGCATGCTCCACGCTAGCGGATGATCTAAGAACAACACACAAAATGTTCGAGTCACACATGCCATTAACCCTTGTCAGGCAACACTGTACCTACTTAACATAGAAAAGGACAATAAAAATAACTTAATTGCCATTCTTATCAACACATGAACAGTAAAGAAGTAATATGTAAAATATGTTTATGCAGTCCATTCTATTAACATAAATATAATTTTAAATAATTAGTTCTTAATAATATTTATATGACACTCAATGTGTATGCATCAAAATGTCTTTACTAAACACCTTTGATAATAGAATTAGTTCAGTGTACTAAGTTATTAGCTTTCCCTTCTATTTTGTAATTACTTGAACAATTGATTCTGATTAAATACTACCACATAAATTAAAGAATATAATATGTAGTACATTGAATGTGTATTTTATTTTTGCTTTAAATGATAAATGTATCTGATTCCATTTAGAATTACTAGGAGTAAAACTGTCTTTATATATTTTTTTTCTGCCAAGGTTATATTTTGGCTTATAATCCCAACTCACTCTCCAGCACTCTCTTTAATTTGCAAAAGTATTTACAAAAGCTAAGTGGAATATAAACCTTGAAGCATGTGATATGCTGTCTTTCCGATGTTCCGGTTGTTGTTGGTGAGGCAGAGAGGCCAGTAACGCCCTCGCAGAGTCTTGCCACGCCATAGCACGTTCTGTTACACACTGCAGGGCTTCGCCTTCCGCTAGTCGCACTGGTAGCTTCTGCAGCCACACCTATTGTCAACCACATGCATGTAAGTAAAACAATTTTTGAAAAATTGTTAATAAATAGAGTTTTGTGGAAACAAACATTTCAAAATATAATTGAATTTCACTAATATAACTGAAATTCAACCACTTCAAAAAAGGAACCTTTTCCTTTTTTGAAGTCGTCGAATAGGAATGCTATTTAAGCAAAGTATGAAATAAATAAAAATTTTAGCATAACAATTAAATATAACATGTCAGTTTAATGATTTCCATATAAATTTGTTTTTTAATAGTTATCGGTAAGGAGTGTATCACCGTGCATACTTTAAAATGGGTATCCAAAGACGAGACGAGACCTGCTTCTGTTCGAGGAGGCATTCGAACAGAATGAGACTGTAGAAGTGCCCATTTTGCATATTCTGCAGTCAGGACGAGCATGACCGCTTCACATAATTTGTGACCGATGGCAACCGAAGGAGCCCAGATTCCTAGCCGACATCGGCCATCTCACCATTAGGTACAACTTCATCAGGGTAGAAGGGAAGTCTAAGATCTTTGGGAGATGCTAGCCGACCCCTTCCGCACTGATCTAGAGAGAGAGAGAGGGTACCAGCAGGGCCAGGATGCGGTGCAGGCGCGGGCGCTTGGTGCGCGTGCAGGCGGGGCAGAGGAACTTGCGCTCGGCGCCCGCGTACGGCAGCTCGCCGCGCCCCGGCGACTCCGCCCCCTCCGCCCCGTCCGCCCCCACCGCCCCGCCCCGTCCGCCCCCTCGCGCTGCTCCGCCTCCTCGCGCGCGCCGGCCACGCACGCCGCTGCCGACCAAAAGCACACGTCGTAAAAGGTGCCTCGGGCTTTATAGATGGCCATGAGCGACGGTGTTCACTTGACATCAGGTGAACCGCCTGCTCGTTTGAAAACGTTTTACATAGAAAAAAAACTTGTTAAAATCTGTTTCACTATCATCATTTCAGTGTATTTTAGTCCATTGCTATACATAGGTCTCCCTCGCAGACTGCCACCTGTATCCATTGACTGCCCCCGCACATTTGCACAGGCCATTATGGTTGCCCCCGAAGTACGAAATGTTTGAGTTCGCGATAAACGGCCGTAGAACAAAGGTTACCAGCTCAGAATATCATTAAGCTAAAGTGGCAATGGCCCGGCGGCCAAATATCTTGAAAAACCGATGCCGGACTCGTTTGGCAGCTTAGTATTGGCTATCATAGTGGTGTTGCATACACGAAGAAATTGTCGACTCACCGTGAAACCAGTCCTTGCACAGTTCGCACTGCGACATCACGCCGTACTGGCGTTTCTGGCACAGGCAGAACGTCACGCCGGCGGTGGGCGGCGCGCGAACATCTTTCCGCATGTTCCGAGCCCTGTTGGGTGAACGATGCTCAATTCAAATATCACATTTATCGAACTACAAATAAGAAAAAAAAACTCCACGACAACTTACGATCTGCGGTCGCGAAAACCCTACATTCGTGCACAGCATTCTTCTAGTGTTTTAAACCACAGTGATAAAAGAAACATAACGGCTACCTTGTAACATTTAATAGTCTCGGACAGGTTTATTACTAAGTGTTTGAGGAGAGGATGCAAGATTATCTGCTAGACTGCGCCCTTTATATCCTCCTCAAAGTGGTAAAGCGGGGCTGCGGGAGCGACGGTGAAACTTTGCATCATTATCCCATACACCCTACCCTCAGCGATGCCGGCAGGGCCGCACCAAAACCTCGCCACAGTTGAGGCACGAGGATAGAGTGGTAGTCGGTATAGCGATGCGCCGTCCTTCCTTTCCTTCGCAGCCGAAGCGTGGAGTCATGCGAGTCGAGACTCGACTCCACTCCAAGCTTCGGGACTGAAGACTCCACCCGTTTGCTCTCCAAACTGTGGGTGGCAGACTCGGAGAAGTCACATGCCATATGCAGTAAGGCGTGTCGTGCACGTCCTGGAGAAGAGGTGAGTTTCCTCTCCGGGGAGAGGGTACGCAAAGCAGCCGGCAATGGTTAGAGCGCCCCGGTTATTCTCGTACCCCTGTCAATATAAACTGGCGAAACATTATAGGAGTTTTAGTCGGAGAAAAGTTGTTGAATTATCATTAAACTAATGAATATTGATAGTTGCGCCCGTTTAAGTGACATCGCATCATTTCCCTTCACAATCCAAATATAATGCATAGTTGGAGAAGTGGCGACTTTCTGGTAGGCCACTCGGCGTGTTATAGCGTATAAGCGTGGCGGATCGATCCAGTCAGATCTGGAGGCGCACCTGAGCTCCTTGACGGCGGCGAGCTCTTGCTGCTCGGCCTGCTTGAAGGCGGCCACGATCTCGGTGGGCGTGGCGTCCTCGCTGAAGTGGTGCAGGAAGGCGGGCGCCTCGGCCGCGGCGTCGCGCTGCCGCCTCTTGCCCGCCGCCCCTCCGCCCCCGCCACCGACGCCACCGCCCTCGCAGCGCGGCGACAGCGCCTCCAGCAGGCTCCCCGCCCACTTCTGGAAACAACACCGACCTTTACTTCTGCTCCGATGGACGAGGCGACCACCTTATTGCTGCTTTACTCGCTTGTACCCTAATTTTCATTCAAATTTGCGGTATAAACAAAGTCTGCCATGACAGTAATAAAATAGTTTAATATAAACATTTACTCATTGCCAGGTTGCTTCATAATAAGGAGATATATTTAGAGTCCATTTACTGTACCTTCTTAAGGAACATTTCCGCAGCGCCCCTCTTCCACTCCCTGGCCGATTGCAGCGCAGCGGCCAGTTGGTCCTTCTCGAAGAGCGCTAAAGGTATCTGTTGTCCGCGTTTCACCAAATTCTCTACACTGTGCATGTACGGATACAGGTCTTTCGATTGCATCTCTTCCACCTAGTTAGAGAGAACAGAGAAGACTTAGTTGCAAATTTTATAAGATATTAATTTATTACTTACTTCATTTTTCAAGAACCATGCGATATCACAAATGTTATTCGAAACTGATAATCACGAGAAGGGAAAAACATTGGTCATCCACAGTTTAGTATGGTTTAACCATACTAAACTGTGGATGACCAATGTTTTTTGTAACATTAATTTTTGTGGTAATATTTTTTATAGAATTCAATTTATAAACAATAAAATGCAATTGTCCATTGAATTGTGTTACATCAACATTATCAATAATGATTAATTCCATGATTTTCATCATTTTATTTGCCACAGTGCGTTATCATGCCATATAATATTACGTTATATAAAATTTAATTTGGCTTAGTTGTATGTTCAAAGACAAATGACTAAGCAATTTTTCACATAAACTCTTTTTATGTGAAAAATTATTAAGCAATCAGGAAGTTCACCTAATTTTAAGTGAATACCATTGTCCGTGAACATCGACAACACCAGAGTCCTACAACACCTTTAAAAAAAATGGGCCCCAGTTATCTCTCTCACAAAAAAAGAAATGCGAAAGTTTAACATTACCACTTCACGCCGGTCTTCTGTGATGGTACTTCCATGGACGTGCCTGCTTATTTGTTACAAACGTTAAAATCTGATGCGTGGCCTTGTAAGGACAATTTACATACATAAATTTCACGTGGACCACAGATGCGAAACAAACTATCTGTGGGTTGAGAATTGAACCCACCAGCCCCGGCGCCTCGGGGCCAACATTATAGCCGCGGCACTTCCCCGGACGCGTGCAGATGTGGCACAAAATATTCTGGCAAGCAAGATCGATCGATCGATGTGTGGACACCTTGGCGAGCCAGTCCCTCGCGTGGGCCACCGCCTGGTGCAGCGCGTGGTGCGTGGGCAGCGCCGCCTCGATCTCGTCGCCGTCCGCCAACAAGGCCTCCAGCTCGGCCAGGCTCGTGTGCTGGCCCTCCTCCGAGGGCTCGCGCCCGTCCACCAGCGCCGCCTGCGCGCGCCGCTCCCACTCCTCCACTTGCGCTGCGAATTGCATGGATGTCTTAAGTGTACAGTTAGAGCACAAAGATATAAGATCGTTCGCTCGCTCCCGTTCCTTGCAGCGGTGGGGGAAGGGGGAGGGGGGGGGGGGTCTCAGATGACGTCATCACACCGGGCGCACCTCGCAGGGCCATCAGCTCGGCGCGCTCCCGCTCGATGCGGCGGTGCGGCGGCAGCGCGTCCGCCTCTGCCAGCAGCCGCTCGAGCGCGGGCGGCGTGAGCGCGCCGCAGTCCGCGCGCAGCGAGCGCGCCTCCTCGAGCCAGCGCGCCTGCTGCAGCCGCGCCGCCGCGCCGCCCAGCTGCGGCAGCACGATGCACAGCCGCGACCCCAGCTCCACCACCTGAGGGCACCGCTGCTTCTACACATTTGCGACACCTTTTCACAGGGTGGCTACCTACCGCGGTCAGTCGTGACTCGGAGAGACCAATGGCACCCGGAAAGTTCTATTATAGTCTTCCCTTCGAAATCGTTCCCTTAATGTGAAAGAACATATCATGCGTTCTGAAGGCGTTTCACGTAATATATAAATTTCACATGGGCAAACATCCAGATCCGAAACAATCTTCTGTGGGTCACTCAAATAGTTGAGCCGCGTGGGAATCGAGACCAAGAGGCCCGGCGCCGTAGCCGATACTTTAGCAACTGCGCCATGGGGTCAACACCTACATAATCACCAGCTCGGCCAATATTATGCTCATGCATTATCCATTACACCACTAATGCAACTCCTTAACAACACTTGTAACAAATACAAATTTATAATATTACACGTTCAAGATGAGGTGGCTAATAATTGGGTGTGATAGAAAAAGAGCAATACCCCATGACTTAAAGGAAACCAACTTATCCAGAAAATATCGTTTCTTTCTCCCTCATATGAACCTTCTATTCCCTCATGTACACTATCTCTTTTATCTTATTACACACATCCTTTCTAACCCCACCCACCTCCTCGAGTTCCCGTATGCCTGCCGCATCTATCTCCTCCAGGTCTTTGCTGAGTTGCTCCGTGGCCCGATCCTCGAACTCCTCAGTCTGCCTCAGCACTTCCTTCACCGCTGACCCTGTTGTCAGATATTTAAAGCATGTGAATCGACCACTAAATAAATATTTGAATTGTCAATTGTTAGTTTGTATTCCCACTGCAACATTTAAACCATTTTGGTCCAAGATTAAGGGACAAAACAATCTGTCTTTGAGTATGGAAGCCCGAAAAACTCGCTTTGCTTCGGCCAGTTCCGTCGTCCGCGTTAGAATGTAATCACGAAGACAAACCCTCGGGCAGCACGCAGGCCAGGCCGTCGATCTCCTGCGCGAACAGCGTCAGCTCGTGGATGGTCAGCCGGTACTTGGGGTCGTGGTGGCGGGTGCGGGTTCGCATTTTGTTCAGGTCCAACTGCTGTATCACCGACGCGCACTTCTCCGCGTCCTCTATTGCCGTCTCCAACGCACGCACGAGCTCCGTTTTGTGCATCTGATTCAAACGCAAATGTATATTGATTATTATAAAGAGAGATGATGAGATACAAACGATTACTGTTCTTTGTGCAACTTGAATGTTTTTGTGTTGGTTATAGAAAGAACCTTAACTTAGTCCTTGTTTACGCAGAAGCCTAAACAAGGACTAAGTTAAATTTCATCTAACATCACTCGCTCTTGGATACATTTGTTTACATGCATAGGACCTTTCATTTGTATAATTGTTTAGTAGCTTTATCAATTTTAATTATTTGTATAAAAGTCTTTACTTTTGTATATTCGTTATGTATTCATCTTCTTTAAATTTTTTTTATTCAAAACTGGCCAGCGCATGGCTGCCATCCAAACTGATGGTATGTGGCGATGCAGCCGTCAATGGTAAGCGCGCTAGCTTAGTAAAAACCTTTTCACTCTTGAAAACGCCTACGTTGTAATCGGATGGTAAAACGGACGCAGTTGTTCCAGTTTCTATCATCAATGTGTCAGATGGTTCCGCGATTAATGTTAAAATGTGGGACTTGACTTATAAACTATTGAGCACCTTCAGTTCGTGGGCTCGTCTCAGATGGGCACGCAGCCCGTCCAGGTCGCAGGTCTTGGGCGTGTCCGGGTCGAGTGCGTTTTGCACCGCCTCGGCCCACTCTCGGAATAATTCCGATTTCTTCTTTAGCTTCTCCAACATGGCCGGGAGCTCATCCAGAGTGTAGCGATACCTGGTAGAGTATCAATTTGTTCATTATTATTTATTCATAGTAATTGCTTATATTGTTTTAAATTGGGAAATAAATTTAAGAGTTAAAAGGATTATCAATTAATATTAAGGTACATTATTTTAGTTTACTGTAAGTGTGCTATCGAAAGCAGTGCTGTCTCAGTTGCTAAGTTTAAAATAAAATGTAAATGAACAAGTGTGTTAAAGGATGTTATAGTCTACACTCTGGAAATGAATTGATCGCTCTAGACTCTTTTAAGTGAATTTTTATATGTTGTAAACATACTTATATTGTCAGATATTGGTAACAAAAAAAGTTGTCCCGCTGAGTTTCTTCCACTGGTTCTTCTTAGGTCAGTGGATTTATTTCCAAACTGGTAATAGTATATTTTGACAATCAATATGTAAGTGCAACTCATCTATATTGAATAAGATATTTGAATTTGAATAACGCAAGTGAATTTTTGCTATGTATAAAATAATATTTTTGTATTTGTCCACAGGTATGTAACAGAGGAGAGCGAGAGGGGAGAGGGCGGCACCTGAGCTTGTGGTCGGCCGGCGGGCAGGCGCAGAGGTGGCGGTAGTGGCGCAGGCAGGCCACGTGCGGCGTGCAGCTGCACGTGACGCACGAGAGGAAGCAGGTGGTCTTGCAGAGCTGGCACTGGCGCTCGTCGTCCGGCAGCAGCTCGAACGCCTCGCGCTCCGCCTCCGTCACGCCCTGCGCGCCGCGGCAGGGTTACAGTTAGAGGAATAATATTGTGTTATTGAGTAGGCCGGTGAGTGCGTGACGCGTGTTACGAAAAGTGTGATCGGGCAAGGCGAACGGGATTTGAAAGGGAGATATATATTAGTGAAGACAGACAGAGAGAGAGTTACGTTTCGTATATTACTGTAGGGGAGCAAGAAGGAAAGGTGCAAGCACACGTTTCTTTTCTATCTTCCTCTCATGGCCAGTTAGGTAGCGTTACGCAAGCACGTACCCAGTCGAGCAGCGCCTTGCGCAGCTTGCGCTCCTCGTGCAGCATGGCGCGCATGTCGCGGTGCGCGGCCAGCGCCTCGGTGGCGCCGAGCGCGTCGGCCCGCAGCGCCATCTTGCAGACCAGCTCGTCGTGCGAGAACACGCACGGCCGCCGCAGCGTCGAGTAGTGCGCGATGCACTCGCGCCCCGGCTTCAGCTGCCACACACGCACTATTAGCTTGGCTAACTTTACCGTGCTGAGTCACGCACCAGCTCCGGCTGTTGCTCGAATGGGCCGACTTCAACTATTATACTTCAGCGTTTCGTCTGGTGAGTGAGGTGTCCGAGCCCCACTGTATTCAAAGGTGGCATCGCATTTACGACACTACGAGTGTTACAAATGTCCACGGGCGGTGGTTATCACTTAATCCACTAGCTCACTTGCCACAAGTAGTCCCAATTTAGTAAAAAAGTAACAGCCTATACATGTCCCACTGCTGGGCAAAGGCCTCCTCTATACAGAAGGTATCACAGGGCATAGTCCACCACGCGGCCCCACTGCGGATTGGCGAACTTCACATATCTTCGAAATACATTTTTTTTAGTTATTATTTCGAAAATATACAGGTTTCCTCACGATGTTTTCCTTCACCGCGGAGCATGTGATAAGTCAGCACTTAAAGTTAAAAACTTCATTGGTGCCGGCACCGGGGATCGAACTCAGGTTGCTCGAGTATATATTGAATTAAAGGCGAGCGCCCGGACAATGAGCTATCAAGGCCCAATTTAGTACAAAGTCCCAATTTTTAAATGTTGCAACCCATCAACTAGATCTATGCCACTTAACATCATGTGAACCGCCTGGTAGCTTGCCAACTTTTCACACAAAAAAATTTAAGGTAAATTAAAAAGTGTTAGAACTACAAAAAGTAGAAACAAGGGTCTATCTATAGCACTAATTAAATTCTGTGAAAACTCACTCTAAAAATGATTTTTACATTAATTAATACTAACGTTGAAAACTGTTTTCCAAATCAAAATAAAACTCACCCAGTCGGCAGGGGTGAAGTTGACAGCCTCAGCAAAGTTGTAGCCCTGATTGAAGCCAGCGTGGTAGGCGCGCGGGAACGTGATCACGAACTCGCCCGCGTGTTGGTCGGTCCTGCAAGGAAATACAACCGACTCTATTAATACAAACTTATGATTAAATCATACAAAGCACACTGAAGATGCTATCTATCTACATTACAAAGACCCAAAACCAGCTGCAACTTTATTTATGGTATTTTTGTTAGTTTTAGCAAGATAAGAACATATGTCTTACTCTATTCATTTTGACAATTATATCTTTACTATTAATAAAATATAAGAGAATAACCATCAAGTGTCATAAAGATTGCCAACATGATCTATTTTTCACTTAGCTTATTTAATATGACAAACTGGGATATACACTTATCTTAGATATAAACTTCTTCCCTATTTTAAAAGTGTTGTTGGGTTTCTATTTATTATTCTTTGTTTTTCTTCATATTTCTACCACTAGCTCTAGTGTACAATAGTTTCAACATTATACAAGACATTATGCAATATCCACTACATATATCGGAGCAAAGATCCATATGGACTATGTGAAGAATATGTCTGTGAAAGGGGTGAGTATTGACATGACGGCTGATAGAGGAAACTGGAAGGAATGGACAGGTTGTCTGCCAACACCATCTAGTGCGGGTTAAGGGCAGGAGAAAGAAGATATAGTGGAGCAATGATTGGACCTCACCTGTAGACTGGCACACCGGCCTTCATGAGGATGTTGGGGTTCATGATGGTGACGAGCTGGTGCAGCAGGTCCGGCTGCAGCTGGAACAGCTCGGGCGCCTCGGCCTTCATGGCCGCCTCGAACTGCTCCGCCTTGGAGCCGGGCACGCCGTACCAAGTCTTGGGCTCGCCCCAGTGCAGGTAGTTGATCGAGTAGCTCCAGTGGTCCTCGTTGTGCCAGCAGAATGTTGCAAAGCACATGCCCACATACAGCCACGGGATCTGTGCAGGTACATAGTTTAACTCCATGTTTAACTATTTTGGACACCGCTCAGTTAGAATAATTACACAGTACATCAGTAAAATTCACCCCAGAAACATTCCATATCTATAAAATAACAACCAGAAAGATTTTGTTCACACCAGAACGGCCTAGACATATCATAATAAACAGAAGAGATTATTTTGATAACTGTTAAATATTAAGGTACTGCCATTAGAGCCTAAATCACCAGAATTGTAAATCTCAATTTAATACAATATCTAATATATAAAATTCTCGTGTCATGGTGTTTGTAATTGAACTCCTCAAAACGGTTCGACCGATTTTCGTAAAATCGGCAATGGCATAAAAATGGCCGATGGCCAGGGTGGAAAATCGGACAAAATCTATTTTTCATCCCCCTAAATGTTAAGGATGATTTTTATCTACCCTACAAATAATTTTTTCTACCCTACAAATAATTTATATGGCAAAATAACGTTTGCCGGGTCAGCTAGTATTAATATAAAAATGACTAACCTTCATCCCAGATATGTCAGCATTGATATGTCCCAAAACTGAGCCCTCCAGTACAGGCAGATTATTAAGGTTCCAACTGGATTCTGCATACTGTTGCTCACCAGGGTAAAGGTGTGCGCTCATTTTTGTAGGAAAACCTAGATTAAAAAAAGAAATAAGAATTTTTAAAAATCAATACAGGAATAATGAGATTTAATAATTTTTAAAAGTCAGATCCAGATGACTTTATTTATGTATGTTGCAAAAACAACATTAATTATAAAAGGTGTTAATATGAATGATATTTTTATATATTTTATAGTGCTATAGATATAGCAATCACGGTGTTAATATATAAATAGGACGTTAAATATAGCTAACCAGATCCATGGTCCATCGAATGCAGGTCCGCTCCATACTCAACAGTTACGTCTTCGTCGATTGAAGAAACAACGCGCCAAAACTCTCGCTCTACTGTCGATGTTGGTACCATCTATAAAAAACAATATTTAGCTCAATGTTTTTAAAAGTAAGTGATTTGAATACAATAAAGTTTAATTAAGTTAACAAGAACAACTGATTTCTATTTATTAATATTAAAGTCCAAGGTGTATATTTCATTCTCTCGGGTTTACTTTATTATTCGAGTCCATTCATTCGTGACCATCAACTTTCACGCATTTACATTCATTCAGTTCATTCATTAAGGTTTACTTTGGACTCACGTGAACAGGCATATTGAAGTAGTCGGACTTGAATTGATCGGCCATTTCACCAAACTGCTGAAGAGTGTATTCGCGCGTCGCCTGCTCAAAGCCGAACGCCTCGGTCGGTTTTGATACCTGCACAACAAATTCGACAATCGAAATCATTGTAAATAGATGAATGATGATGACCGTTAAAAGTAACAAGTTTCAAGAATATAAGAAGGTGTTATACAAGGAGTATTTAGTAATTTACGTGATAGCGTGGTAAGACGTAAACTTGTTAGCGTTTTGGCAATCAATAAGTAAGTGCTCCTACATTGAATAAAGATATTTGAATTTAAATTTCTGTACTATAAAATACCAAGTTTAATCGAAACTACCATTACAAGAGTTAATATATTATCCGTTAAGTATGAACAACAATCCAAAGGTCATGACCTCCTCCGCAAGGCAGACCGGGCACCGCCAGTCGCCCTTCGGCACGTCAGCCAGGGGCGGCACCAGGCAGAAGGTGTGGTAGGAGTCGTCGCAGCCGTCGCAGAGCAGCATCTGCTCCTCCACGTCACCGCGCCCGCACACGTGGCACATGTACTTGGCCAACTATGAGAACGATGAGAGTCAATATACCTTATTTAACCCCTAACGTAAAAATGGTGTTGAGTTTGACATGTCTATCTCTATATCTTTGTTTCTCTAAGTCTGTGGCATTGGTTTTTTTAAATTAATGGACCGATTCTGTTAGGGTTTTCTTGTTTGAAAGCTTTATATGTTCAAGATGGTTCTTAGTTATAATTTATTTGGGTTGGGGGGGTTTACTTAAAATTTTAAAAAATGTATATTATTTCTTATTGTAGAAGTTATTTATATCCAATTAAGGCCTTAGCCTTCAAGAATAAGTACAGTATGTTTTATCTTTAACGTTTCCTTGTGGCATTAAACAATTACAATCTGACAAATTGATCGACAACTGTTTCGCCGCTGCGGGATTCTTCGGGATTCACGCCCATACGCTATAACTACTAAGCTGGACTGCTGATTGTTTGAGAACCTACACTGTTTTTTGTCATCATCGCTCCCGCAGAGGGGGAAAGATGGAAAGATTTCGTGCATTTTTGGCTCGTCCCGAGTGCAGGGAACAGCACTAAGAAAAGCGAAATTACAAGCGTACCGGGTCGTCGGCGTTGTGAGGGTTGTGGGCGTTGCGGGCGTCGTGTGGGTTGTGGGGGGCGAGCGGCGGCTGGGGCGCGGGCGCCGGCGTGACCGACACCGTCATGTTGCTGAGCCGGTGCTCCTGCAGGCGGCGCGAGCGGCCGTGGCCGTGGCCGCCGCAGCTGGCCGCGCCCGCCATCCACTTGTTCTCGCGCGGGCTGCGGCGCGTCTCGGCCGCCTCGTCCTTGACGGGCGTGCGCAGCGAGCGCTCGGCGGCCGGCGGCGGCGCCAGCGGCAGCGCGCCCTCCGTGCGGCTGCCCTCCGCCGCCGGCTCGGGCTCCGAGCTCTTGTAGCGGCGCGGCGCGGGCGGCGGCGTGGCGGCCGCGGGCGGGCCCTTGCTCGCGGACCGGCTGCGCGCCTTCTCCGGGGTGCGTTCGCGCTTCACCTCGATCTTCTGCGTTTCCATTTTTTTTTTTGGGTTTATCCAACGTTTACGTAAATTATTCTGTGATACAAATGGGCAGGCTAATCAGGAGAAGTACCACCAAAAAAGACTCGCGTGAAGTATCCCATACAGCGTGTCGTTACCGTCGCGACGATAAATGAACACACTTCTAACGCTACATGCCAATAAGCATAAAAAATATTAAAGTTAAACGAAATCCATAATTTAAAAAAATATTTTTCAAACAAATTAATTAAATAAAAAAAAACAAAATTTGTAACATCCTATACGACTCGCCCCACAGTGTCGTATTACAAGCCTCTCCTTCTAACAGTATGTTTTGTCTCTTTTAAATTCTTTCAACCCATTCATATGCTTTGTGACCTCTACAAATGAACTTTACGTTACGCTTTTATAGGTGAGGGTGTTCTAAAATTCATTGTTTTGAAAATTTTAATAACTCGGTAAATATTGATGTTTAAAGAATTTAAATATTTAATACAACTTTAAAAAGTTATCCCCTACATGTGTGTTCATTTATTGTCGCGATGGTAACGACACGCTGTATATAATATATTTATTATACAATTGTATAATATAATATATTGTATAAAATAATATATCGTATAATATATTTTGGGGTAGCTGAGGCCAAATTGTGAAGTTAGTAACGCATCTGCCACTAGAAACGATTTGTAGGGCGGCTGTAATCAATTAACATCAGGTGAACCGCCTGCTATATTAGCAATTTCTCATTTGTCACATGTAGGAATGTTATTCTATGTACCCGTTTTAACTATCGCGTCTTACGGCCCGATAACATTTGAACACCTTCAAAATGCGAACCCCCTGTATCTTAAATGGACGGCAACGTTAATTTTGTGTTTGTCTATGATCTGCAAATTGGTTATTTAACATCGGATGAGCATCGTGTCCCAACACCTCGATAAAAATAACATTGTACTAGATTACTTGATGACACGGTGGCTTAGTTGTAAAGGCTTCAGTCGAAGGTCGTGATTCTGGCTCCATACCAAGACAAGTATTTGTGTGACACGACAGAAAACTGTTCCGGGTCTGGGTGTATCCCCAACTAGGGTTAACCCTCGTCAGGCAAGCGGCCGGTTGTAAAACCCAGCCAATAGCACTAACTACGTACTTCACATGTTGTAACAGCCCTACCTAGATAAGGGTAAGAAAACGACACGCTAGACGATGACCACCAAAACTCACCGTCTCCTTGCTGTCTCCCACGGCGCCGCTGCTCTTGAACACGTCGTAGGGGTACAGGATCCGCTCGTAGTGGCTCTTGAGGATCGAGCCGATGCCCTTGCCCTGGGGATGGCCCATGCGGCGGGCGATCTTCGACCATTTCCTCTCCGCCGAGCACACCTCGAAACCACCTGTGGGATCAAACTCATCAGTACATCGAGCAAATGTGATTTATGTAGTTAGATAAAAGACATGTTCGTATAACCAACAACGTTGTGTTCGACAAGTAGTGGGAACAAGAACGCTGAGACTTCTTGCGCAAAATGTTATGTACAATTCACAGTATCGAGCTTTTGCATATGTCAGCAATCCTGATTTGCGTAAAAACAATTTCGTTACCCAAGTATTCAACCTTGTTGTGTGTCGTTATTAAAGTGTTCTTTAAAGTCAAATAATTTCTTTTAAAAATGACCCATAGAGCGTCCTTACAGAATGAATACATCTATATGAGATAGATAGTAGAGTAGTGAGTTCTCTTAGTTTGCTTAAATTTAATGGCGAACCGGACACAGAGTACCACTTCATGATAATAAATTATACCTTTCTCGCATATTGATACAACTGACGTTGAAATAGGCATTGAGGTTCAATCACAAGATCACAAAGACTGCTTTCAACAACTAAAGTGTTCTCAGCATAGTCGTTCGATTATAACCTTAATGGAATCTAAAATGAGGTGTACAATCGTAATTCGCTTTAATGTGGACAAAATTGCTCTTGTAATCACAACAACTATTAGCCCAATTTGGACAAGAGTTGCAACGGAGGACTCGGTGACAAAGTATAAGTGTTTGGTGCGTTACACTGCAACAGGTTTTTTCTGGTTCTGAATGTCCTGCTTTGTTAGTAATAATAACTTCTTAACCGAGTGATGGAGGAAGTAAGTCATGAACAACGCCACGTGTCGTGATTAAAACACGACTGTCCGGTCGCTCGCCCTTAATTCAATATACTCCAGCAACCTGAGTTCGAACCCCGGTGCCGGCACCAATGAAATCGTTAATTTTAAGTGATGACTTTATCACGTGTTCCGCGGCGAGGGAAAACATCGTGAGGAAACCTGCATATTTTCGAAATAATAACAAAAAAAATTTCGAAGATATGTGAAATCTCCCAATCCGCAGTGGGGCCGCGTGGTGGACTATGCCCCGATACTCTGTATAGAGGAGGCCTTTGCCCAGCAGTGGGACATGTACAGGCTGTTCATTTTCTACGTTATAGCTTTGAACTTATTGAAACCGCACACCAGTCGTGGGTCGACCGGTTCAAACCACTGTTTTAACCGGCCGTTTCAGATTGCAAATATATGTCCACAGTCTATTATCATGAATTAGCGATATAATTAGCAATATATTATACATATAAACCTTCCTCTTGAATCACTCTATCTAGTAAAAAAAATGCATCAAGATCCGTTGCGTAGTTTTAAAGATCTAAGCATACATAGGGACAGATACAGCGGGACTACTTTGTTTCATACTATGTAGTGGTGCTTTCCTGACAAATGTTTTTTTATACACGCTAGCATGTAGTTCTCAATGGGATTTGACCGGCAATAGTTCCTTGTCGTTGCGTTAGCGATTAATTCAGTATACTCGAGCAACCTAACGTCAATTTTAAATGGAGATTTAGCATATGTACACGAACAAATCGTGAGATATAATATACAAGATCAATTCAAAGTCAAAATGTCTTTATTCAATATAGCCTTTTTTTAAACTCGCATTGAACGTCAAAGAACTACCACCGGTTCACTAAGCTAGACCTTACCAGACAAGAACCGGCAAGAAACCCTACGGTCATATCAATTTTTTTACTCATTTTTTTTTAAATTATTAAATACAAAGGTCATATCCACTCATCCTTGTATTCTTCGACATTACACATTTTATGACGACAATGGGCCATTAAGGTAGCTTTTACAAAATGTTTGCAAATTGTTTGTGGATTTCACGTATTTTTTTATAATAGTTATATTTTATAATAGTTTATTCTATAATATATTTTATAATAGTTTATTTTCTATAATAGTTATATTATTTCGTCCTTGCCTTCGATCACGGCGAAATCAACACAAGGCGTTCGGGGTCACTGTCCGTATCGTAGGTTTGGTACAAAGAAGAAGAAAGTTGATAAGACTCGTTGGCGCTATTGGCTTCGGGTGTTGTCTGGGGTCGTGGGTTCGATTCCAACACGGGGCAAGAATTTGTGTGACCCACAGATATTATTCTAGACCATGGTGTTTGATTCCCAAGGAGTGATGACGTCAGGCACACGGCCGGTCGTCGTTCGTAAAGAAACATAGCCAAAAGCGCTTATGATTCAAATGTTGTGCGGACCTCACCTAGGTGGGATATCAGGTGGGATTCCCCCCGATTGACCCCACCCACCACAAGAAACACATAATACTTCTTATAGCAAAACCAATCATCCGTTATTATTATTGAATCTTGAAACATGAAAATTAAAAAAAATACATATATTTAAAGATTGTTCCACAATAGTTTTATTGTTAATGTTATATGTTTAAAAATAACCAACTCACCTGCTTCTCTGACAATTTTATGCAATGAATACAGGTCCAGGGGCTTCCTCTCGACGGTTGGAATCTTGAGGACGGAGCCCTGTAGCTCCCAGAACTTGATTATCTGGTCCAAGAAGTTCAGCTTCACTCGCGTTATCGCCTGATGTAATAATAAATCAAGTCATAAATCAAGCAAACATTTATGTGAATTGTAGCGACCACAGCATAAAATGAATCACAGAATAGAATAGTGAATAGCTATTTTTTTATTTTAAATTAAAAACAAGCAGCTAACAAAGCAAGCATAATGAACAGTAATATAAAAATAATTTTAAAGATAATAGCTTTCATTTTCATAGATAACAAAGTTAATGAACAGAAAGTAAACAATTTCGTAACACATAACTACAATATTGCAAGCTAACTACAAACAAACATAATATATCTCATGTGTTGGCTTGCTGTACATGACGTTATTGAGGTCATCTCTCAGATAGTTTAACTCTTAATGCAAGTTTAACCTGTAGCATGCTAATAGTTTTCGTCAATATTTGCTAATTAATCGAAATATTTCCTTAGTTTATAAACATTTAAAAGTGAGTTGAACTCCCAATTTAACATTTTGATTTAAAAAATGTAATTTATTGGAATTAAACGGTAATATTACAATTCAAATTAAAAAATATCTCAGTTCCACATAACAGTGTAATACATGTGAATTATTTATACAAACTTATAAATAGACAATGAGGCTAAGCAAAACGGTTAAAAGTTGAATAAATCTTATGTTTCAAACTTAATAAATAAATACCTTACCTCTAACTCGTTTAATCGCTGTATTCTTGGCGTGAACCTTAGCCTGTCAACATCAACAGCAAATGGTGGCTGCCAATGCTGCAACAAATATGAGCGTGTAAAATACTGTAAAGCCAAAAATGTGTCAAGATATCAATTCAAAAAGACTTTTACCGCTTAGTTAAATATGGGACATTAGTTGAAAGATTAATTTGTTTTAGATGATGAAATGCAATATAACAAATGACATTATGAACATTTATTTTAATTAATTAACAAAAACTTTGCACAACAAACACTTTGCACAAACAACATTGATGCCTGAGAATAAAATATAAAGTTGGTCATAAGAACATTAAAAATATAAAATGTCATTAATTAATGTGCCTTTACATGGAGTGTGGGTAATTAGAGTCGCCTGTAGCACTGGTTATCATGAACCTGATATAATTAATAATATATTGTTAAGCAGTACCCTGTACCTAATTTTTAAATAATTAACAGTTTTTCTAGATAAACATTTAAACTACACTATAATCTCTACCAAAGTATATTAAGACTCATAGTTAACCAAAAGCTATAATAAATTAAAAAAGCGGCAAAATTAGTATATGATTTACTATTAAAATCTACAAACATTCTGGAATAAACAAGACAAGATTGCAACAAAAGTAAGCAGATATGTTTAATAACATCTAAAAAAAGTACTAATATAAATTAATGATTCTTTGGTTAAATCCTAATTTATATTGTGCATTCTTATAATTATTATAGATATGGTTCTTGTATAACTTTGAGCCTGCATAATAAAATATGTCCATTCTACAAGTCCTAACCTTATCGCCATTATGATAACTAACAAATATTTCATGTTATTTATAACTTATTTCATATAATTATGATAATATACAATCATCAGTAACTTTTAAATAAGCCCTTCCAGCTTAAAAAGCTTTCCGCTTAATCATACAATGAACAGATTGTTTATAATAAAGGAGAAAATCAGAATGCAGCTGAGTTTTTCCATTACACAGGCAATCCATAAATAATTTACAAAAATATAAGTGTTTTATTAATATTAAATTACTTCTAATGAGGATTATCATCCCTTGAATGTACCAAAGACTAGCAGTTCGCCACTTGAAATATTTCCCACCCTAACAGGCCTTTGAGCACCCCTGCCTCTACCTCTTCAACAACACTGGCAACCCTGAGATCTTGGTGACACTGGTTCTTTAGTGATGAATGAGATTTTTCAGGTGCCCTTTTTGCTGAAGTAAGATATACCTAACTGGACAATTAGTCATAGTGATCAACTAATTCATCCAAAATAGTGATAACAATTTCTTTTAAATTTCTCATTATTATCAAACTAAAAATATCTAAGCTTAACTAACTAATTTAATGTTTGGATATACATATAAATGAAAATGTCATGTCGAATAGACAAACATTTATGAGGCATCAATGTTTATTATTTAATTCTGACTGATTAATTCTAAACTATAATAAAATATAACAATAATAAATCATTTCAATTTGGAGTAGTAATGGTCATTGTTGTTTAAATGGTTACCTCCGTTTATAAGTTTTATAGTTTTTTTTTTTTTTATTTTTAACTTTAACATAATTTATTTTTTATGTATGTATTATAAAGTATATTATACATACAATTATTTTATATTACTTAAAGTAACAGGTTAAATAATAATATTTATCATATTATGGTTTCCACCTTTATCTACATTTTGTTTTAGCATCTGAAGGAGTGCTTGGTGTTGTTCTACAAATTTTAATGTTCAATCTTAAGTGCAGAGATTAGCACTATAAAAAATTTAAATTTCTAAAAAGCAATGGCGACATCTCTCGTTTGCATTATCATTGTAAAACGATATTCAAAATTGTTTGTATGCTGGAAAGGATATAACAATGGATGCGTCAAGTGTTGCTTCAAATGCTAAAAAACAATGTAGACAAAGGATGTTAAGATTTACGTCGGTGTGGCAATCACGTTAAGCTTAGTGGCTAAAGCGTCAGTCCGTGAATGCCGAAGGTGTGGGTTCGATTCCCATAGCAGTAATAATCTTTTCCTACAAATTTTAATTTACACTATTTTTGTGGAGTTAAACAGTTCACAAGAAACAATTAAGTTCTTTAAAGAATCACTTTATCAGCTATATATAATTATAATGATAAGAGAGTGATTTCTCACCAAAACATAAATATACACATTATAACATTATATATTTATAAGTTACGGTCAGGTAGGTATATGGGGTTTATTTATTTGTTCATAAATGTAATTCAATTCATATTTTAGTTTATTTTAAAAGATTTTTTATTTCAACAATTGACAGCAGACAGATAAATATAATTTAGCGCTTAGCATAAAGTATACAATAATAAATTTATCAAATACAATTTTATCAAAATAAAAAATATTTATAAAAAATTTAATGTCTAAGGCATAGTGTGATGTATAAATATAATTAAGATATGTAACTATATATACTGTAAATTAATCCTTCACTTGTTTAAATTACAGGCAGGTTAACAAAAATTTGAAAAGACAAATAAACATAGATATAAATTATTTTTTTTCCTAAATTACATTATGTTTCACATTTTTCTTGAAGCTACCTTTAACCACTAACATTAATCTTATAAAATTCTCGAATTGCACACAAATAAATTAAATTATGTTAAAGAACTGTACCCAAATGTTCTGAGGGAAAGAGCTACAGCCTTGTTTTGACCTTAATAATATTTTTTTGTTATTTATTTGATTTACATTGAAAAAGACAAAATTTCATTTTTATATTCCTTAATACTTTTAATTAAGAGAGGAAGACTTACATTAAAAAGTAAGGAAGCATTAAGGACTAATTATTCATTACAAGGTCAAGAAACACAGAAAGTTGCTAGAAACCAGTAACTATTTTTATCAGAAAAATAAGGGAAGATGTAGATTGTAATGCCTGCAACTGATACCAGGCATTATTCTATTATTATATAATAATCTAGACTTAAATATCAATTTTAACTTATAAAAATAGTAGTAATAGTCATATAACAATAAATAACAGAAACTTTAAATATATGTTTTAATATATATTATATATTTATAAACAAAGGATGAATTGTTCAAAACAATATAATATAACTAAACTTAATTTAGACTTTTAATTAAACTTCAAACTCAAAAGTATTAGTCATATGACCTGTTTTGAAAAAAGATTTATGAAAAAATAAAGCATCAGAAATAGGGGTTTACAAGGGTTTAATATGTGACAATCAGAAAACCAAATGATCCCTGAGTTATAGATTTTTAGTTATGCAATTTCACACTGATATAGTAACATTACTACAAGGGAACAATTAAAAGGCATTACAAATTAAGTATTTAAAATATCAACACTTCAAATGTCTAAGATATAATAACTAAGCCATACTGTTTTAGTATATTTCGAATGGTAGATTCTTACAAGGAACATTTAAATGTATTCAGTGTTATAATGGATGCAAGTAGTTATACTGATCAATGCAAATATTAAGTGTCAATATACATTGTTCAATCATATAGAGAGAATGCCTAAATTTTTCAAGTTTCTGACAAAATTCATATAGATATTGCGCCTAGAATTTTCATCGTGGATAGTTACGACAAAAAACTAGCAATAGTTCTTTTTTTATCTAAAGTATCGTAGGCAGGAGGGCACGACACAAAATGGCAACCAGACTGTTTCAACAATATGCGATTGCATTCGTCATTTATTAATTGCGATGCATGGCTAAATATGCACTCATATAATACCTTGACACGTATTATTATGCTTTTAATAACAAAACCAAATCGAACGTAATACACAATTACATAGAATAAGTAACTTCTGTTGCATCATAAGACATTTATAAGCGTGTACCTTTAGGGTTAGAAAATTATAATTCAAGGGTGGATTTTCCACATATATTGACTAATTGGAACTAAAACGGTAAAAATGTAACGTCCGTGACAAAGAAATCTACTTACTGCAGGGGGTTTGATCTTACAAATGCCTGACTTCTCCGCGATTGGCCTTATTTTACTAATGTAAGCCAAAGGGTCCAGGAACTCTTCAGGCGTAGGCTCGAAGACAGGTGCCTCTGGAGGTACGGTGAAGGTGAAATTATCAGGTTTCATGGGGGACGCCGAGTCCCCCATACTAACTTCGACATTAGCTTCGTCACATTTTCCCATTTTTGAGAAAAACCAATGCAGTTCTCACAAATTCAACTATGACTAACACTTTAGCATTATCTAATGTTAAGGAATAAATAGTGCACGTCCGCAAAGAAATAGAAGCAAAACAATTGGTCTTTCCATAAGGAATCTCGACAAGATAATAATTGAAATTATCACCAACAAATAACAGAGTTCACTCGCACGTCCGCCATGCGAAATTGAACTTTCGAAACTCCGGTATTGCCACTTAAAATAGCGTAAAAAGTACCACTGTATTCAAAAGACATTGTAATATTTTAAAATAAACAGAAATAATGTATTTTTGTACTTATTTTATTGCATTAATAGGTTCTTCTTATTGAAATCATATAATTCAATACCAGTGCTCTACTAATTTTGTAATTATGATGACATTATTAGACAAAAGAAAATTCTTATTACAACATTAGTAAAAAAAAATTAAATAAAATGTGTAAAAGAAGTAATTTCATATACGTCTAGTTTAAAAATTAGGATTTATTTGATTTTTCAATTTACCAGTGTTGCCCCACATTAAAAGTCAAGGTATAGCAACAGGCTCTGCAAATGCGCAGACTCGAATAGAATCGATGAGCACATCCGTCATCCGCCGCCATTTGCGAAAGAAGAGCCGATCGCTGTATCGCTGCTCAGCGGCGGGAGTGACGTTCGTTTTATTATGTCGAGTGTATAAATTATAATTTCGATTAAATTGTGAACAGTGTTCATATTTAACCAGTTAAAATGATTGTGAGACTGTTGACCCTGCTGTGCGCCGGGATTTTGGTGGCTGCAGTTCAAATTGCCGAAGGAAACAACGCGAATGAAGGTAATAATATACTTAAATATTTATTTGTATTTTTTTTTTACTCTTAACTATATTTCTTATTTTCTGCAAAGACAAACGATCCACATTAAAACTATTAATAAGTAAAGAAAATAAATCATATTATCATTCACTAATTGCAGGACTATGAATTGTGATATTATATCCGTAAATAATGCTGCATTAGTTTGTTTATTTTTCATGAGATATATTTTAAATGTGTCTCTTCTATGGATTCAAGACTCGGTGCATTCGGTCGTGAGTTCATGGGGGAAACTGGTAGTATTGTGTGGGTGTTGAAGAGAACCGGCTCGACCGCTTCTGAGTGGTGCACACACGCGTGCTTTTTTGACCTGTCTTGGTGGGCGTTATAGGATTCTAGGTTTTGCAGCATCGAAAGTTTCTCTTTATGATGGTGTGTTGAGCTTTAATAAAAGATTAACTTGGGATATCTAGATCTGTGATATCTAGTTATTAACTTGGGATCGGTTACATATCTATGTTATGTTGTTTAAGTAAATGAGGAAGCTTAGTACCTAATCTTCACACAATTCTTCCGAAGCAGATGTTTACGAACTCATTTTTATTGTTTCAATAAAATAAAGCAATTAATTAAAATGTAATAGACAATAAATTTAAATTAACTATTAAAAATAAATATTTCCCTTTTTTGTCTAATACTTTAGATAAAAAAGGGAAATATTTATTTTTTGCAATTTGTTTCTAGTTTTATTTCAGTATTTTTTATCTGTTGCAGAAATACGTAAAATAAGCCACAATAATAAAAATCTGTTTGATACAAGCAAACTATGGATGAACTCTACAGATTTTATATTTCTTATCACTTAATTTGTCAAATCTATGTTTATGTAAATTATTTATATTGAAGTTTTTATTTTATATAAAATTTTATGTGTGTATAAAATATATGGTTTTCATTCAGAAAAACTATATAAAAGTAAGTGATGAGCCTGTTTTCAAGAAATAATTTTTTTCTCATGCAATTTACATGTAATTGCTTTAACATGGCCTTTGTTCACAATTCAATTTGCAAGTTGAGTAAGAAGCCTGAGTAACTTAGGGTAACTTTGTTCTACTCAATTTGAAAGTATACCCAGCTCCGGCCATGTTTTTCTTAATATAATGGAGTGTTCAGACAATGAAATTTGTAATTTTTTTTATCAGGCCTACTTAGCAGCGTTTTATATAAACTCAGTTTATAGTCTTTACCTGTGATCGTTAAAGGCAGATTTATAATGTCTGGAGCATGTAGGTAGAGATGAGTACTGAGTGGTCAACCACACTTTAACCACAAACATGTATGTACCACTCCCTTATTAGGTAGAAAAAAGCTACAGATATAGTATGACATCATAAATAGTTGGAAACATTATTGCATTCAAATTTGCCAAAGAGTGCTTTTTTCAATGTTTATTACGAATTGTGCTAACTCATCCCGAATAACATCATGGCCTAACTGAAAACTGGCGTTAACTAGAAGTATCTATACTTTGCATTTTGGTAATTTCGGACCTCCCACTTTAAGGGTTGTAATGGAAATGCAAATTTGACGGTTGTTATAAATGTTCATGGGCGGCGGTAATCTGTACATCAGGTAAATTGACTGTTTACCATCATACCTCATAAAAGTTTTATCTCAAGCACTTTATTACGTGCAATTTGTTCCAACTCGTCCAGCTTTTTAGGATCGCAGTAAAGGCTTCGTGAATAGCGAATTTTGGTCTTATCGCTCGGGTTATTTTCCGCAACGCATGTCCGAACTTGTGATGCGTTGATGAATTACCGATATGTGCCACTAACCTCTTTCGCGGGTTCGAAATCTGTCGTTCACCTTAAGGCGATAGAGTGCGGCGTCTGCGGCCGCTTTGTAAGCGTTATATAAACGCGTTTATGATGTCTTTACTCGTCTCAGTGGCCAAGAATAGACAGTTGCCTAGAATAGGCGCCGGGGGTCGCGTTTTCTAATCCTGCAACGGAAAGGTATTTATATGGCCTTTCATATAAATTTTTCCGGATGTTGGTAAATATCCATGCATTTCAATTTACTGCAAATAGGTATAAATTGTTTATACCTATTGCTGTATGATAAAATTCTTATCAAAATCACAAAAATAGTTGGGATTTTGGGTATCACAATCACAAAAATAGTTGGGATTTTGGGTATCGGCGCGTGAGGGAGTTACAATTAGAAGCTTCTCATCATCATCATCATTTCAGCCTGTTTGAGTCCACGGCTGAACATAGACCTCACCCACAGACTGCCACGAAGCACGATCCTGAGCCTGCATCCATTGACTTCCCGCACACTTACACAGGTCGTCACTCCATCTAGTGGGGGGGTCGTCCAACACTACGGCTGCCAACCCGCTCTTTAGGCTTGGAAACTATAGCAAAACCCCTCATGATGGAAGTTCTAAAGCCTCTACGCAACATCATTCTACAGCGGGGATAATGTTTTAGAGAAAAAAAAACCTATCCCAGGATTACAACACTACCTATTTCATAAGTCGTATGGAATTAACATACGATTATTATTTCGTTGTAGTCCGCTATCGAATAAAAGCCTCGATGCAGAAAAGGACGACGACGCGCTTGAATGAGAGAAAGCAACACTTCGGCATTTCGAATTTGTAATACTAGCACGATCATCCTCCATTCTAAGCAAGCTAAGAAGTGCACCTAGTGGCTGTTGAATACATAACCGCTCATCGCGTGTCATCCGGCGACTGTTCTCCGAAGATTATTATTCAAATCACAGTTGCCAAATCCACACTTTAACGCAATACAATGTGTCGTTAATTATGCATTCGGCTATGTTCAGTTTCGGGGTCTAGACTTCGCCCCCATCCGCTTCTGGTGGTAGGTTTAGCATACGGATGACCTGGTCCATCCGGAAGTCGGGAGTTACCAATTTGCATTGTTTTCGCACATAGAGGAGGCGGTGGGTGGGGCTCTGCGTGGGGTTAGGGAGCGGTGAGTCATAATGCCGATATTATGTACTCACACAAATTGTATTCAATCGAACCTAGACACGGAGACGCGTTATTGCATTTTCATCAAGCCTTACAAACGTATCTTACAAAACGTTCTTGTATTTACTACATGGGAAAAATTGTTACATAGTAACGATTTTGTAAGCAATCGCGAATAATTGAAAATTTTATTTTTTGAATCACACACAGGTTTACGCTACTTCATATTGTTTGTCGATGGCTACCCACTACTAGCTACTTGTTCATTGCTATACTTAGACGTATGGAAATCAATATGTCAGGTATTTGTAATAATGTTTCAGTCTGCATAATAACTGTTACACTTATGCTATAAAGTTTTAACTGGTATTATGCACACAGAAAAATTACAAATGCCTAATAAAAGAAATTTTCATGTAAAACTAAGTTAGCAAGTGTAATACATAAAATCGAGTAATTGTTCACCTAATTCCCAAGGTTACTAACAACGTTGCGATTAACCCACTTCATTATGCCCGTAAGTATAATTACAGACCTAGCCATAGCTAATTTCATGTCTAAACGTTTATTTAGTTATGGGTATTACAATAATTCTCCAGTAATTCCAGGCTTTATAAAGAAATTAGTTCACGAAGAAATGTTGATGCATTCCTTTCAAATGTACCTTTATATCATTCACTGTGAAGTTATTGCACAATTTACCATTTCTATGCTATAATTTTTACGGGTTGAATTGATATAAAATGCAATTGATGAAAAATCTCTGCAAAACTCAATAATTAATAGACACGGCATTTGTATTTCAAAAGTAAACGGTACCGTTTACTTTTTGTTGTCTACGGCTTGGGTCCACGTGAGTCGCTACGGTATATTTTTAAAGCAAATAAACGTTTTGCCCATATCTATTTATCATATTGTCCCAGGGCCTTGGCTTTTATACAAGTATTAGGGACTAAAGACCTCAGTATCTGGTATAAATTTCAACTTGCTAGGTCCGCCCATATCTGAGAAAATCAGTGGTGACACACGGACAGACAGACGGACAAGAGAGTGATCTTATAAGGGTTTCTTTTTAACCTTTTAAGATACGGAACCCTAAAAAAACATCTGGAAAACTAGTTTTTGTAGCATGAAATTTATAAGTCTGGTTCATCGTAATAGTCTTTTTTTACGTCTAT